GTGCTCCTAGAGGTTTGGAGAACAGGAGAAGGAGCAGAGACGCTCACATTTGGAATGCCAGTGTTTTTCTAACACTGGACAACAACGGCGCACCAATTTTAAGGACTGTTCTTTAGTACCGTGGCGGGGGGGGGACACAAAAATCAATGCCTAAGTGTTAACATTTAAAAGGTGCATCCTGGTGTGGCTCTAAAATCACCGTGTGCATCTCAGGAGTGTACACCGCACACTTTGGGGAATGCCAGGCTAAATGGCCATCAACTTGTCTGGGTGTGTGGGTGTCTGTGGGTGTGTTTGTGATATACTGTTTTTATTATCTGCGATGGTCGGTCTGAGAGCGTCTATGCCACTGAGTTTCCCTCTGCAGCCTCTGGGGTATTGTTCTATTTGATTAACAGGGTCCCATGTGTCCACTTTGGGGTCTCTGCCTGATTCCAGCCTGCTCCCCCACCCCTGGCCATTGTCTGACTACAGGCTCCCAGAGGAAGGGGCTACCATCTTGGCCTTGAAGAGGCGGGACATCTGGATGTAGCCCTTGTTATGGCGGTGGATGTAGAGGAGGTGGATGGGGCCAAGGACCCAGAGGTACATGGGGGGCACCCAGACCCCTGCCGTTCTCAGGAAGCACAGGCTCAACAGGCGGGCAGCGGCAGGCTCGGGCTCCGTCTGGTTCCAGACCTGAGGGAACACCAGGGTGACCCTTATGATGGTACAATGCAGGGCTCCCAAACTCACCACTTGGGGGGCCAAGAAACTCTTTGGACCCCCAATATTTACACGGAAAATGTGCTAAGCACTTTTTGTTGTTGTTTGGTCACTGAGTCACGTGAAACTCTGTGCAACCCCATGGACTGCAGCATGCCAGGCTTCCCTGTCCTTCACTATCTCCCAGAGTTAGCGCAAACTTGTGTCCATTGAGTCGGTGATGCCATGCAACCATCTCATCCTCTGTCGTCCCTAGAGTACTTCATAATTGAGTAACTCCAGTGACCTCACCCAACTGGACAGGGGTGGTGCTGGGATTTGAGCCAAGGCAGTTGGGTCCTAGAATCTAGGACACCTGGGATCTGTGATGAGTGCTGGGCACAGACTTAAAACCACTCTGTTGTTGTTTGGTCGCTAAGTCGTGTCTGACTTTGCGACCCCGCCAGGCTGCTCTGTCCATGGGATTCTCCAGGCAAGAATTCTGGAGTGGATAGCCATTCCCTTCTCCAGCAGATCTTCCCAACCCAGGGATCGAACTCTTGTCTCCTGCATTGGCAGGCGGATTCTTTACCACTGAGCCACCAGACAAGCCCTCTAGGAGGTAGGTATTACTGTTCCCATTTCATAGACCAGCAAACTCACAAAATGGGAAGGGAACAGCTTCTTTTAGGCCCACACAAATAGGAAGGGACAGAGCTGACTCCACGCTGGCCTGGTTAACCCCAAATTTTATTCTACTAGAGGTCGCCATCTGTACTTCTTTCGTCAGATCTGCTGCTGGCCTTTCCTAACCCGAGAAGTGTGAAGGTGAATTTCAGAAGACACAGTTGCTTTAATTCTCTCGCTGCTACACCACTGACACCCTCCCACCAGAGTCCTTTGCTGAGGCAAGAACCAGAGACGTGGGGAGTCCTGTAGCTGGGGGATCTAGAGACCCCTTTAACAGGGTTGGTCTCTTTGGGGAACAGCTTGGTTAAGGAGATCGCCCAGTCCTGCTGTTAGTCTGGCAGGTCTGTCCCTCCCGGGGGTCCACCCCTCCCCTGTATCGCAGTCCGAGAGAGATCTGTTCAAGAGATCTTTCAAGCCAGCCGGAGAAGGACAGTGCAGCGGGGTGGGGATACTCACCCCCGGGCCCGCGCAGGGCTCGCCTGGCCCGGCCATCGGGCACCGTCCGTCTGTTCGTCTGTCTGTCGGACTGTCGGTGGGTCCCTGGACGGCTTCCTCGGCCGCGTTCCGACCGGGGGAAGGGGCGGGGATTCGAGCTCGCGGATGGCGAGGCCGGGGGCAAGGTCCGGCCGGGCGGCGGGGGTGGGGCGCGGAGGGGTGAAGCGAGGCGAGGTGGTGGGGCGCTCAGGGTGGCCGCCCAGGGCAGCGAGGGAGGGGGTCCCGGAACCCCAGAAAGTGCGGTGACGTCTGCATATAATCCCCTCTCCCCCTGGCGCAAGTGTCATTCCGAACTTCCCGAAATCTGTGGATCAGCAATTCCAGGAATTTATCTAGATAAACGAACCCAACAGGTGTGCACCAGTCCAGCGACCTGCGGAATGGGGGATGGGAGGACCCCGGGTTAAGGTTGGAACCGCAGCCCGCTCACCTGTGAGACCGACCCTGTCTGCCTCTAGGATGGTGGGAAGATTTTAAGAAGATTACTAATAAAACGTCTAGCAGAGTGTTCGGCACACTGTAAATGTTCTATCAGAATTAACTTTTATTAGCATTCGTAGTAGTATTTCATCCCTAGGTTACTGAGAAGTATTGCAAAGTGCCACTGAAGAAGTAGGTTTAATACGGAAATATGGTTACTGAATGATAAGCGAGAAAAAAAAATTATAATACAAAATAGTTTACGATATGTGTGCAAAGAAAAAAAAATAGTATATGCTTAACTTAGGGAAAGTGGGAAATGAAGTCAAGTCATTTACCTTTTTCTTCTGGGTCTTAAAGCGAGGTGTACCCCTAGCCACAGGTTCTTTTGGGAAATGACTTTTAACATATATGTATAGACAAAAAGATGGCAATGCACTAAAGCAGTGGTCATGGGACTCCTAATTTTCTTTTCTTTTTCTTTCCTTTCCCTTTTCTATTTTCTATCCTTTACAATGACCATGTATTCTCTTTCAAGACAGGAATAAAAGACTGAGCTCAGGTGCTCAGTTTGAGTGAAGAATTCAAATCCTTTGCATCTCCAGGCTGCACTGCTACTTCGGTGTCTTCCTTTCTCTTGCCTTTTTCAGGGCCTCCACGGGCTCCCTGGTCTTTTCTCCCCTTTCTTTCCTGAGATTCCCCAACCCTCTTCTTAGGCCCTGGCAGCATGCTTTCAGCTGTCTTCCTGCCTGGGTCTTCTGGAAGAGCAGGGACGCCAAACCTCACGAATTTTTCTTGAAGCTGAGTGTGGCAGGTCTGCTGTTTATATTCCAATCATCTTTGTTTATTTGAGGTAGTTTTAGTGAAGGCTGATGGAAATTGCGGGGTGGCTTGAGCACCTCCATCCCCAAAATCCCCATTACAACTGGCGTTGCCACGGTCCTAGTGCTTTATTTCTTTGTATATATGAAGATGAGTTTGAGCGAAATGATGAAGGTTTGAGGGGGGATGGTCAGGAAAGCAGGAAGCATACAGAGGAAATCAGCCAGGTGAGCCAAGAACAGAACTCAGATATCCCAGAGCCTACTTTCCAGCTCTCTGAACTCATCTCATGGATGAGTGCTGAGCCCTGATGGTGGTGGTTTAGTCGCTAAGTCATGTCTGACTCTTTGCAACCCCATGGATTGTAGCCCGTCAGGCTCCTCTGGCCATGGGATTTCTCTGGCAAGAATACTGGAGTGGGTTGCCATTTCCTTCTCTAGGGGATCTTTCTGACCCAAAGATAGAACCCAGGTCTCCTGCATTGCAGGCAGATACTTTATTGACTGAACCAGCAGGGAAGCCCCCAACCCTAGATAAATCCCCGTCTCTCTCTGGGCCTTGGTTTCTCATCTGTAAAGATGATTCCATAGGTCAAGCACTTCCTGATTGATGACTTTCAGTCCCCTGGTGGTTTGCTAAGACAAACCAGGGAATTATGTTAGGAAACATAAATGGAAACATTTGTTTTAATTGTAATGATAAGTAGTGAACTTCCAAAAAATAATTACTTAAATGGTTTCTCTTTATAATCAAACAGTTGAGAGTCTCACTATATTTGGAATGAGAATGAAGAGTGAGAGAAATCAGATGCGCTTATGGCTGAAATCCTCTAGTGGATGTATCCTTCCATTATAGCCACTGTGTAGTTTAAAATCATTGTGATTCATATTGTGTAGTGCTTGAGTCTTAACCATAGTGGCAGATTTCAGTGGGAAATCTCTTTACTTCATCTTTTAGGATCAAGGTATAAAAACTATCAAAATAAAAGCACTTGATTTTCTTAAGGAGTGAAATGGAAGAATTTCAAATATCTGGTCGGAAGAGCAGTTTTTGTCTATTTTGACATGGTGACTTGTAGTTCATCTACATTATGGTATACATTCAGTCTTGAGACAAAATATAACATGCTGATTTTTGAACTGATTTTCAGACAGATGCTTTCAGATGATTTTCATGCATCGCCTCACAGAGCTGGTTCAAAGTAAGTCAAACTGCATGCATCTCTTGCTTCCTGGGGGAAAACCCTCAAAGTTTGTTTCTATAAAAATGTTACTAGAGGTGGGATTAAATAAAATTTAAATATCTTTAAATATTATGCTGAGCTTAAACGACATGTTTTGCTTTAAAAAAAAAAGCTAATTGATCATTTATCATGGAAGGTTACACCAATCGACACAAATCCCTAAAAGGGGTTTGAGATTATACATCACTTGTGAAACTTTTGGGTCAAATAGATTCGGGAAATTTGTTGGGATACTTCGATCAATAGTCTCTCGTCATTTCCAGTTTCAGTGCTATTGAATTCCACAGTAAGGGATTTGGAATTCCAAATTCCTAATTCCAAACTAGGAAACTACGAAATTCAACTTTGCAGTTTATACCTGTAAACTTTGCAGTTTATACCCGCACCTTGCAACTGCACTTGCCAGACGGTGCGCGGAGTCCTCCTGGCCTCCAGAGGGCACCAATGGTTTCCTTCCGTGGCTGAGCTTGCACCGTAGTTATTTTGGCCGGGGGCATGGCCGTGGGGGCGGGACGCGCATGCGCGGTAGCGGCGGGGGCGGGGACTGGGCTGTCAGTTGCCCGCAGAGGAGGAAGCCGGCGGCAGCGTGCGGGGTGAGGGGCGGGACCCGGAGGCCTGCGGAGGTTCAGGCTGCAGAGACCCGGCCATGCGGGGGCGCCGGGCTACGGGGCCGCCCGGGCTGGCGGTGGTGGCCGCCACTGTTCTGCTTCTGCTGAGTGGGGTAGAGCCGGCGCGCGCCTCCGAGGACATCGTGGTGGGTTGCGGGGGCTTCGTCAAGTCGGACGTGGAGATCAACTACTCGCTCATTGAGGTGAGTGCCCGCCCCGCGGCCCGGAGCTCGGTGTGTGACCCGGGGCCAGGCGCACAGCCTCGCTGAGCCGCGGTGGCCTCGCCTCCCAGGCGGTTGCCACCAGCCCTCCCCGCAACTCCCCGCATTCTGGGAGCCCTTTCCTCTTCAGAGGCGCTGCTCTCTGCGGGCCCTCCGCTGGTCTCCTCCCCAGTAGCGCTGGGGTGGGGGTTCTTCTTATCTTGGGGTCAGCTCCGGGGCGGGGGGGGGGGGAGGGCGGAGCTCTGAAGGTGTGTGCATATGGGTGTGAAGGACATTTCTGGTGACGATGATAATGGTTTATAACTTTAGTTAGGTCACACAAAACTAAGGATCCTCCAGATCGAGACCCCAGATACTTCAGAAGGCAAACTCCAGATCCCCACAATGCAGGCCCCAGGTCTCTTAAAACCCAGTCTCAGCAGAACGCAGACCCTAGATCCTCAAACCCCCAGAAACCCAGACCTGCTGAAACTCAGATTTCCTGAAACATATATTCCAGAACCTACAGACCGCAAGGCTTAACCCCCACAATACTGAGTTCCCCCCAAATTCTAATCTACCATTCCTCCTACCCTCTGGGAAGCTTTAAAAGAGCATGAATTCTCATCCCAGAGATCATGACCCAGTTACTGTCTATTGGCATCTCTGGGGCTGGGAAACTATTTTTAATCTCCCTGGTTCCCCCATTGGGACCCTTTCCTCCCATAATGAAGAGTTGTCAGCGCCCTGATTGCTGGGTAGTTATTGGAATTACACAAGAGATTTCTGTAGAAGTCTTTTTTATTAAGTTGTAAAGCTCTCTTCAGTTAGATAGTTATTATCCCAGTGGAATTATGACCCATAAAGCTTTTGTGAAGAGGAAGGGAGATAGATGGAGGTGGGCATAGAAAATTACTTGCAGGACAGATAGGAAGGGACCCCAGGGAGGGCTGGCCTCTATTTTAGGAGGGTAGTTACTGATGATGAATCAAAAGAAGGGAATTTGAGAGGGAGAAAAGAAAGATGCTGGGAGATGCCAAAGAGAAGGGAGTGGGGACCAAGACCCCAAAGGCAGTCTGCCTGAGCAGCTGGAGGGCTGTGGTGAAGAGTTGAACCAGCGTGTTCCTACAAAGCAGGTTCCTGAGAATTGGGGGAGGGATTGGAAGTAGATTCTACAGCTCTTTGACCTAGCCTTGCTCCAAGTCCCAATTTTTGTTCCTGTAGCATAGGGTTGGGAGAGAGACCGCAGAGCCCAGCATCATATATTTCCCAAAGAAGTTACTCATCACCTTCAAGACCCTTGGCTTCTCCATCATTTTTGGTCTTAAGAGGTCAGGCATGGGACTTCCTTGGAGGTCTGATGGTTAAGAGTTCACCTTTCAATGCAGGGTTTTAATCCCTGGTCAGGAAACTAAGATCCCACACACCCAGTGGGAAATAAATAACCAGAACATAAATGGTAGAAGCAATATTGTAACAAATTCAATAACGACTTTAAAAATGGTCCACATCAGAAAAAAAAAAAATATATATATATATAAAAAGAAGTCAAGTGTTTAATGTGGCAAGGCTTCTGGGATCTCTGGGGGCCATGCCACCTCCTGGGCTGTGGGCACAGGGCATTCCAGAAGCTGTCTTGAAAAGCTTTGCAACTTGTAGCTTCCTAGGGCTTCAGGAGAAAAGTATAGAGCACTAGGGACACTCCCACCCTGAACACTTAATAGTGACTGTGAGAGTGGAGGGCAGGTTTTGTGACCTAGTATGAAGTATGTTCCCTGAGCCCTAGGGCTGCCTGTCCAGATGGCTTGAGAAATTCATTCTTTTTTCACTTCTGATTATGAAATCTAGTGTTTCACACACATAATGTATCCTGTCATTCTGTGTCCTGACCTGTGCTTTACAGAATAAATGTAAATAAGATATTTTACAGTCATTTCTGGGTTGTGTTTTCTGTGTCCCAGTAAATCTACCTTCAGTACTCTCCATCCTTCTTCCCTTCTGGGTATTTTTCCATCATATTCATTCAGTTAGTAACTGTTGCGTGAGCCCCAGCGTGTTCTGAAGCCTTGTCCCTGGTGGGTACCACAGTTCAGTGAACAGAGCAGACTATGTACCTAAAAAAGAAAAACTGTATTGATTGCTAATTCTTTAACAGTTAGGAGGTTTCACATTAAAAACTGCATTCCTGATTTCTCTGGAAAGCCAGCTAATCTTTGGGCTGCAAAACTTGGCTTGGGTTAAGTAGCAATCCTGTCCCCTTTTAGATGAATGCCCATTGATGGGACTTCCCTGGCCCCTCTGGACAGGTGGATCTTCAGTCACTGCTTTAAGTGCATGCATCTGAATTTCTTTTTGGCCTGTGAATAAGGTTGGGTATTTATGGAGTACTTACACTACATAAGGCCCTGGTCCAGGCACCATGAAGTGTCAGCCGAGGTCACTGCCCACGGGGAGCCTGCAGTCTACACGTCATTTCCCAGTGTACCTTTCCTAAGCACACACATTGTGAATTTGTTGCTTTCCACATCATCCTAGCTGGTATGGCTGGGTTCTGTCATCTTTGTGTCATAGTCACAGATTATTAACATTGAAAGTCTTTAGATGGATGTTACTCCAAGTGTTAATATTTTGGGGTTCATTATACAGATCCCTGGCCCTCACCTTAGACCCTCTGTTTTAAAAACAGAAGTGGAGTTCAGGAATTGCATTTTTTTAAGGTACTTAAAAAAAAGAAAATGAAGTATGATTGATTTACAGTGTTGTGTTTAGTCCCTGGTGTACAGCAGAGTGATTCAGTTATACATGTAATACATTCTTTCTCATATTCTTTTTCATTGAGGTTTATTGCAGGATACTGAATATAGTTCCTTGTGCTATTCAACAGTACCTTGTTTTTTATCCATCCTATATATACAGTAGCTTGCTTCTGGTAGTCCCAAATTTCCAATCCAACCCTCCCCAGGAATTGCATTTTAACAAGTCCCTTACTAACAGCAAAATTGGTTTTAGACCCCAAAACAACATAGAGACAGACACTAAAATACACTGAAAAGTATTGAAAAGTACAACTTTTAAGGCTAGTTTCTAACCTGAAAAATAGCAAATCACATTACTTGGGATACTTGGTCTTATTTCCCTCTGTCTATAATGCCCATTGTTAGCACCTTCGTATAGTAGGTCCTCAGCAAATGCATTTTGACTGAATCCATTCAGGTTCATTGTACATAGCTAATTCTCAAGGTGATATCATGACTTCTCTTTCCTTTCTAGATAAAGTTGTACACCAAACATGGGACTTTGAAATACCAGACAGACTGTGCCCCTAACAATGGTTACTTTATGATCCCCTTGTATGATAAGGTAAGCAGAGAGAGCACGTTAGTGGTTTATGATGGGAGGTTGTCAGTGTGGCCCACGGGGCTGCGCTAACTGGGAGAGTGGCTTTCCCAAGGGAGCAAATACACCTCTGTTTTGTAAGTTATAAGCGGAATATGGCAATTCTGGCCAAACTGTGAGGTTGACGGCTTATGTACTGGCTTGATTGAATAGCAGTGATTCTGTGTCTCCAGGGATACTTGGCAATGTCTAGAGACATTTTGGTTGTTACAACCGTGAGGGAGAGTGGTTCATTATCTCCTGTCTGGAGGCCAAGAATGGAGCTCAACAGGCTGCCAGGCTGTGCAGGTCAGGGAAAATGTCAGTGGTTCCAAGACTGAGAAACCCTGACTTAATAGAACTACCTATTAATACTTGCAAGCGGGTTAAAACATTGTTAAAAAGTATTATACAGGGCTTCCCTGTCAGTGGAGGGGATGCAGGTTTGATCCCTCTTCCCGAAGGATCCCACATGCCGCGGGGCAGCTAAGCTCGTGTGCCACGACTACTGAGCCTGTGCTCCGCAACGGGAGAGGTCACCGGAATGAGAACATTGGGCACTTAAAAAGTATTATGCAAGTAATGGGTGCATTCATGAGTATTGTGGGGGAAAAAAAATCAAGGTTTTTTAAGAAGTATATGAAGTAGATTTTATCTTTTGTCCCCAAGTCCCCTCTCCCTCTGTAGTGATGACTTCTGATAAAAGTTTCGGTGTATATGCTAGCAGATGGCTTTCTCAGTATTTAGAGTTGTACGGATACCCAAGAGTATACATGCATGTGCATATATGCAGACATGCACACGCATGTGCTCAGAGATGGATATCCATGCATGCCTGTATTCCTACCCCCCATCCTCTCCATGTTTCATCTTTTTATGTGGAAATGTAGATAAACACAAGAAGTTACAAAAGTTATTACTAACAACCCAGAGATAAATAATCTTGAACTTATATCTTTATATAATACATAAGATTGTTTTCTAGAGGTGGACTAGTTGATATTGAAATCTTTTTTTTTTCTAAAGCATTCTCAAGGAACCCTTTACTCAAGGGTGTATGAATAAAATCTCGTTTTAAGAATTGGCTTTAGTTTATAAAGATCTGGCTGACCCTGGCAGGGTTAAGGTTAAGGGTTAACATATGAAGGGTTAACATGAGACAGTAGAATGTTTGGTATTGAAAGACCAGGAGTGGCTGAATACGGTGTCTCTAACTCTTTGCTGGATTAAGTAGGAGTTTCTGGGGTTGAACTTGCCATGCTGGTAGGGAGTCAAAAGCCCACTACCATTTATGAGCGCAAAGTTTACACTTGGAATTCTATTCCAGGTGTGAAAATTCTACATTACATGATTGTACTAAACTAAGTTAAAAGTTGAAAGGTCATCAGTTCTTAGTCTTCTGCATTGATTTTGTTTTTCTCTCGTAGGGAGATTTCATTCTGAAGATTGAGCCTCCTCTAGGGTGGAGTTTTGGTAAGTTAACAAATAACCAGGTATACTTTGTAAGGGATTAGGCTGTATGCTGAATATTAAACTGATGGAGTGCAGAGATTGTTAAAATATGAAGGATTCATTTCTAGTGTGTAAGAGGGTTGTTTTTTTAAACTCCTCCATCCCTGTTACTTTAGATTGGATTTACTTTCGATCTATCCTAAGGTTTTCTGCCTTGTTTCTTGAAATAGGCATCTTTTCTTGTACATCACAGGAAACTCCGTTTTTGCAGCTTCATTCATTAAGTGCCAGTAGAACTTGATGACTATAGGGGTTAGGAGTGGGGACTTGACTTCTGGCCTTGGGATGGCTTCTTTCTTAGCCCCCTCAGTGTTTTTTTAATAAGCTTTTTTTTAGCGAATTAATGGTAATATTAAACATTGTGAAATTTGACATAAAAATCCAGATCTACTGAAGAAATCAGAAGATCTGGCAACCTTGGGGCCTTACATTTCCGCTGGGTCAGCATCCATCAGGCTCCCAGACGGCTCATTGGTGAAGACTCCACCTGCCAGTGCAGGAGATGCAAGAGACATGGGTTCGATCCCTGGGTCAGGAAGATCCCTTGGAGGAGGAAATGGCAATCCACTCTAGTATTCTTGCCTGGGGAATCCCATGGATTGAGGAGCCTGGTGGGCTGCGGTCCATGGGGTCGCAAAGAGTTGGACACAACTCTTAAAATGTGTGCATACATGCTCAGTTGCGCCCAACTCTTAAAAGCAGTCTTTTTGCACACATACACAAAAAAGCTCCAAACTGCCTTGAGGTGAGTGTCTTTTAGCACTGTTGGAGGAGCGAAAATGGGGTTGATCAGAAGAAAGGGTTCTACTATGGTGTGGCTGATATTTTTGCAGAGCAGAGCCTGGAAATTTTTGTAGAGGTGGGTGTGTGATCTCAGTTCTGTAGCTTGAGGGGAGAAAGGGGGCCCAGTTGCTCCTACCAGGCCTGCCTGTGAGTTAGGGGAGGAAGAATTGAGTCCCTGCTGTCACAGAGGCAGCGACCTGCATCTGGGAGACAAAGTTCTTCCTCAGGTCACAGCCGGGGCTGCCTGACTGCTGGGGTCCAGAAACTGGAGGGGAGTCAGAGCCAAGCCCTGGCCAGAGAGGTCACACTGCGGAAGTGTTTTGTTTAATCCCCTCCCTTCTTGTCAATGCTTTTTCTTTTGATAAGCTTGTTAATTGAATCATAGCATGCGTGTGTGCATGTGTGCTAAGTCGCTTCAGTCATGTCCAACTCTGTGTGACCCATGGGCTGCAGCCCACCAGGCTCCTCTGTCCATGGGATTCTCCACCCAAGAACACTGGGGTGGGTTCCCATGCTCTCCTCCAGGGGATCTTCGTGACCCAGGGATAGAACCCAATTCTCTTGGTTTCAGAAATCCTCGTCACAGAGGTATCAGGCAATGAAGTTCAACAAAATGAAGACACATAACCACCACCTAGATGAGACAGAACTGACCAACTCCCAGAAGTGCCCCACCCCAGGCACTTACGAACTGCCCTGCCTGACCTAAAATGATAGATTATTTTACCTGTTTTGAACTTCATGTAAATGGAATCATCCAAGGTTCAGTTTTGTGTCTGGTTTCTTTCTCTCCACCTTGTTCACAGGATTCATCCTTCCTGTGTGTTACTATATTAGTTCATTCGATTTCTGTGTGACTGGCAAGTGATTTACCCCTTCTGCTGTTGGTGGGCAGTTGGGTCGTGTCCTGATTTTGGCCACTGAGAGTAGTGCTCCCGTGAACATCCTTATTACTCCTGTGAATCTTGTGGTGCACACGTGTCTCCGTTCCTGTTGAGTATTAATATATACCAGGGTGGAACTGCTGGGCAATAGACTTTGTACATGTAATCCAGCCCTAGTAGAGGTTTCTGGACCGCCAGAGTGGATGTTGCAGAGCTTTGCTCTAGCCACCGGGTGTAAGAGTTCAGTCCTCCACATCCTCATCAACACTGGCTGTCAGTCTCTTTTATCTTAGCGTCCTGATGGTGGAGCGGTTTCAGCCACTCATTGTGGCCTCAATTTGCATTTCCTGATCGTCCATGAGATTGAACACTTTTTCATATGTGTACTGGCCATTTGGATATTCTCTTTTGTGAGGTGCCTGATAAAGGTTTTATCCACTTTTTCACTGACATCTTCCCCTGTGTGTGTGTGTAATTCTTTATTTTACATGACGTTCTCTTTCTAAAAAATTACCTTTTTTTTTTTTTGGCTGCACTGCACAACATGTGGAATCTTAGTTCCCTGACCAGGGATTAAACCTGGGACCTTGGCAGTGGGAGTGCAGAGTCCTAGCCCCTGGACCGCCAGGGAATCCCCCTGAAATTCTCTCGATTTGTCCATTTTTTTCCTCTACCTATCACTTCACATTTTTCCTAACTTTTTAAAAACTCAACTTTAACCCATATTATGATGAACTCTTCAGTTATTTTTAATTTCCTTGAATTGATTGCTGATACTGAAAAATCGGGACACAGCAGGTAAGACCCAGATTTTCAGTTTTTCATGAGAACTTGGAAGCTCGGGCAGCACCAGGCCATGTGGCAATAGTGGGTGGAAGCTGTCTGCTTTTTTCCATTTGCCTCAGTCCACACTTGGCCTCTGCCAACTTCCAGTCCACCTGTTTACTATGGACCCTGGAGTTTATGGTCTTGGTATAATGTGGCTGAACCCACGTACTCGATCAGGAGTCAGATCTGGAGCCAGACTTTTGGGGTTGAGAATGGGCTCTGTCCCTCAGGAACTCTGTGATTTTAGGAGAATCCTTCACCTTTCTGTGCCTCAGTTTACCCCTCAATCAGCTGCAGTGTTACTGCCTCCCTCTGAGATAGTTGTCCGGGCTAAGTGCACCTAGCTCAGTGGCTGGTCTCTGGTGGGTGTTCAGTAAATAAAAGTTTCTGGCGCTCACTAGATTTTCCATGGGGCTCTGAGATGCAACTCAGTTGTGAGACTGTTGTAAACGTATCTTATACTCTCAACCCTGGTTCCCTCTGGGGTGGGGGCGGGAGACTTTTCCCTCCTCCTCCTCCCTTTGGATTTCCAGCCACGTGAGTGGCTCAGAAATGAATACAGTGAAAGTTAAGCAGTGCAATATGTTTTACGTGACAGTTTATCCTGTCCCAAAAGTCACCTTGCTTTTGTGTCCTGTCCCCCACCCCCGGCCCCCCTGTCATTGCGCAGAGCCGACCACCGTGGAGCTGTACGTGGACGGTGTCAGCGACATCTGCACGAAGGGCGGGGACATCAACTTCGTGTTCACAGGCTTCTCCGTGAATGGAAAGGTCTGGTGTTTGTCACGTTTGCTCTGTGGTACAGACTCAGTCTCCTCTTACCTTTAAAAAAGCGAGAATGTTGAAACTGGGGGCTTTGAGGCCATAAGGGATGCACAGATAAGCTTCAGGAGGGCCTGGGAGCTCGATGAAACTGTATGTAAAATGTGGCGGGTGTTCTTGGGGGCTGGGTCTAGGTTGCTGGTCATTCCTTAGTCCAAGTATAGACAGCAGGATGGCCTTTTAGAGAGATAGGGTCTCAGGGGCCAGTCTCCCCATCCCGGCTGCAGTGCCGCAGCTGAGATGCCCCTGTTTCTCGCCCACCTTGTCTTCATGGTGGGTTTATTCTCCTTGCCCTTTACCCTGAGAGGGAGCAGCCAAGCACACAATGGAGTCAGTGGGACCAAGTGTCATTTCACTGTTGCCGTTCCTTCTTCCTGTTTCCTTGCTTCCCCAGGAAGGGGAGCCACGATCTCTACCATCTTTTCCAAGGAATCCTGACCCAGGGAAGGTCCTAGGCTGTAGGCGCAGGCTAGGCAGTGCTACTAAGGGGAGAACGTGCCCGCTGGGCGAGTCCTAAGCTCCTCCTCCTTCTCCACGGCAGGTTCTCAGCAAAGGGCAGCCCCTGGGCCCCGCAGGAGTTCAGGTGTCATTGCGAAACACAGGCACCGAAGCGAAGATCCAGTCCACAGTCACACAGCCTGGCGGAAAGTGAGTTAACGCTTGTGCTGCCCTGCCCCGCAGCTAGAGCTGGACCCTGGTGCAGGGGGGTGGAGCTCTGGATTGAGGGAGACCGGGGTTCAGACCCTGATTCAGCCCCTTACCTTCAGACAGGTTCATATCCCACAGGGCCTCAAGTTCCTTACCTGTAAAGTGGAAGTCTTTTGACCCGTATCTTAGCGGTGATGAGATGATTAAAAATGAGATTAAATAAAGCACCCGCTGCGGGACTAGGCCTTCATTTACTGGCTGGGACTGACTCTGGTTCCCAGGTGGCTCAGTGGTAAGGAACCTACCTGCTAATGCAGGAAATGTGGATTTGACCCCTGGTTCAGGAAGATCCCCTGGAATCGGAAATGGCAGCCCACTTCAGTATTTTTGCCTGGAAAATTCCATGGGCAGAGGAGCCTGGTGGGCTCTAGTCCATGAGGTCACAAAAGAATTGAACACAACTGAGCCTGGTGTGATGTGTCACTGGATCTGGAGCCCAACAGCTGGGTTTGAATCCTGTTTCTCCTGTTTGCTAGCTCTCTGCCCCAGGGCAAGTTACTTAAGACCTCTATGCTTTGGTTTCTTCATTTATGAATGAGGATAATCATGGAACCTACCACCTAAGGTTATTGAGAAGATTAAATTATGATATTATTGTTTCAAACTGTCTGGCATAGAATATGCACTTAATAACTTTTAGCTCAATACAGATTAGCTCAATTACGATTTTTAAAAATCATTTTATCACTATTACATCGCAATCATTTTGTAGTTGGAACTGATGACTATTTAATTAACCTTGTTGAGTCACATTTAAAGCATTTATGTAATGGATTTATATCGTTGCGTTGTAAATGTTAATAGATGCGCCAAGATTAATATCCGAATAGTTCCAGCTGATCATTTTGAAAGCATACAAATCACCATTGACTGCTTCAGTACACAAATCTGACTAAACTGCAAAATAGAAATTTATAATGAGCCTGTCAGTATATCATCCAATTTCTAAATGATGACTGTTGGAATTATATTTCGGTTTTGAAAAACACTTCATGTTGCCTCTCCAGCCCCCTCCTCTGATCTGTGGAAGGGGATGTAGGACTGCATTTGCTCTGGTCTCAGTAATTTGCTGCTGGCCCTGCTGGGGAAAGGGACTCGAGCTTTCCAAGCCCCCTTCTTGTGCACACACTACACGGAGAGTCACGTGCAGAACTGGGATGCTGTGAGCACGAGCTAGAGGCTGAATCTTACCCAGACCGAAATCCAGTGGCAGTATCAACGCCACTGTAGCTGGTGGTTTCCCGGCCCTGTGCATTTATTACAGGCGACATCTGACGTGATAAAATACCACCACAGAAAAAGGAACTGAATTGAAATTGCGGCATTCCTGTCACTGGAATTAGCCCGCTTGTGGTCTGCTGCTTTTGCACATCTGAAGGGCTAAATGTGTCAGAATCCTGGAGGCAGTGTTTCCAGCCTCAGCTCATCTCACTCTGGTCTTGGTTTGTTCACAGCTGCTAGAACAGTCTTTATCGGCTTCTGGTTTCATCACAGTTGCTTTGCGCAAGAGCCCAGAGTGGCTTCTGTTTGTTCCTGATAACAGATCTTAATAAACTCTCTGGAGTTGGGGTCAAGCTCGTTATCACCTGCCCCCTGACGCTTAGTGTCATCTTGTGTCGGCGTCTGTCCGCCGATTGTTTGTTTCAGTTTTGTCGTTTAATTTGTTTATGAGTTCCATTAGTTATTTGGTTGTGGCTTTTTTTTTAATATTATTTTTTGTCCTCACCATGTGGCATGTGGGATCTCCCTTCCCTAACCAGGGGTTGACCCCATGCCACCTGCAGTGGAAGTGTGGTGTCTTAACCTCTGGACCGCCAGAAAAGTCCCTGTCCCCATTCTTCACACATCTTTCCTCCCTTCCCACTTCTCTTCGTTTAGACACTCCCCCTCTCCTCACCTCTTCATGCCTCTCTGCCGGCACACGCTTGAATGATCTGTGACTCACCCCTGCTGAACCACAGGGGCTGGTGTTTAGACTAGAATCCCTGGGGGTGGAGGAAGACATCAGCCTGCCTTCTCGTCAGCACACGAGCCCCTTTCCTTGCACGCGGCCAGTGCCCAGTAAGTGCTGTCTGATGAGGATTTGAACAGCGAAGGATTGAATTTCGTTTATGCTCTTTAACTGGCTCAGGGCAAGTTTGTGGTAACTGGTGCATCATTTTCTTGTGCTTGGAAGAGTAGTCCTAAATTAGAAATATTCAGGTTGCTGGGAGAAAGTGAAGTGATATTTTTTCTTTCTTAGGTTTGCATTTTTTAAAGTTCTTCCTGGAGATTATGAAATCCTTGCAACTCATCCAACCTGGCCATTGAAAGAGGTGAGCATTTATTTCCGTATGTCGATGGCCATGCCAACAGTGTGCTGGTTTGGGGACAAATGGAGTGCTTTTCAATTCCGGATATGAAGTTATTTTGTTTTTTCTAGAAATTCATGGAAAAAACAATGATGCTGCTGATTAGTTTGGTGGTGTTTATACAGGAAAACTCCCACACTGTAGCAGATATTGCTTATGTTGGTTTCCGTTTTAGGTAACAACATTGTCTTCCTGCTGTGAAGTTGGTTTGTTATTAACTTATACCTATTTTAAGCTAAATCAACACCAGAGGGACCTGATGAGATTATTTTATTGTTCTTTTTTCTGTCTGTAACAGCAGTACTTACTCTGAATTCTCGTTCTTGTGCCCAAGGAGAGTATGTAAGAATGTTTATTGCAGCTTCGTTTGTAATAGCAGAATATTGTAAACAGCCTATATGTCCATGAAGGGGAGAGTGGATTGTGGTTTCACCGCATGATAGAATTCTGTACATCAGCAATAATGAATGAACCAGAGCCACGTGTATCAATATGACTGTACTTAAAAACATAACATTGAAGGGAAAAGGCAAGTTGCTGAAGGACAAGGAAATATGATACCATTTATATAGTGATTAGACACACTTGTGATCATAACCACTTCTGGATACATTCATATGTGTAAAACTATAAAGATGCTGCAAATGGGAATGGCAGTGTGTTCATCATGGTACTGATGTCTGCAGAGGGACAGACTGATGTCCCTCAGACTGATGTCTGCAGGTCTGCAGAGTTTAGAATTGTATTTCTTCTCTTTTATTCTTTAGCTGGTTGGAGCTTATATAGGTCTTCTTTGGTATAGACCCCTGTATCTTTTTGTTTGACTGAAATAGTTTATAGTAAAAGATTGAAAAAAAAGAAGACACTTATTAAATGTGGTTCTGTAAATAACTGAAAAAACAATTTGAAATAACACCTAGAGGACATTTCAAAAGGTTAGTTTTTATATTGGTTTTGAGGCTATGTTTCATTCTTGCTAAAGAAGCATCAGTATTTCAGTTTTTACTCTTTTTTTTTTTTTAATTTTTTTCATTTATTTTTATTAGTTGGAGGCTAATTACTTTACAATACTGTAGTGGTTTTGGCCATACATTGACATGAATCAGCCATGGATTTTCATGTGTTCCCCATCCTGAACCCCCCTCCCGCCTCCCTCCCCATCCCATCCCTCTGGGTCTTCCCAGTGCACCAGCCCTGAGCACTTGTCTCATGCATCCAACCTGGGCTGGTGATCTGTTTCACCCTTGATAGTATACTTGTTTCAATGCTATTCTCTCAGAACATCCCACCCTTGCCTTCTTCCACTACTCTGTGAGTTTTATGCATTTATAAGTGATGATATAATTTCACACCTTGATGTGTCTATATACTGTTTATGGTCTGGTTCTTTGGATTTTTCTCTTCTGGTCAACATTTAAAAATGTTTTACCTGAAACTCAGTAGCTTACATGTTATAAATAGAATACGTTTTAAGATTTGCATTGTTCGTTAGTTGTATGCATAAAGAATTTGAGTTTATTCATGTAAAATTGTGTTTTAAAGTAAAGCAGGCTATTAAAAGTCAGGAAAATGGTTGCCCTTTGGGGGAGCAGTATCAGGAAAGGAGCAAGAAGGGGCTTCTGAGGACCCAGTATCTGTTCTGTGTCTGAGTGCTGGATGCATGGTGTGTTTGGGAAAATAACTGTTCCTATGTGAATTGTACTTTAATGAAGAGGTTAAAAATACATGGATGCATACCATTGAACATAGAAAAAAACATGTTCATTAAAAAAGATTGGAACATACAGAAGAGCATAAAGGAGTGGAAATGGAAAATTTGGAAGGTGGAAAAGTGTAAAATAAAATGCCACCATCTAGATGAAAATATCATTTCCATTTTGCCGCTTTTCCCTGCCCTTCATCTTGCCCACTAAAAATAGTTGTGATTATGCTACACATTCATATGCAATTTTATACCATTTCGTTTGTTGCTTTTCTCCGAGTTAATATTTTAGTGTAAGCATGTCCTCCTGTTGTTAAATGCTTTGTGAGCGTCTGTTCTTTTGGAAGTTAAAGTCTTCTTTTGTAGGCGAGCACCACTGTGCGCGTGACCAACTCCAACGCCAATGCCGCGGGTCCCCTCATAGTGGCCGGCTACAACGTGTCTGGCTCTGTCCGCAGCGATGGGGAACCCATGAAAGGGGTGAAGTTTCTTCTCTTCTCTTCTTTAGTGGCCAAAGAGGTAAGCAAAGAGGAGTGAAGAACAAGAGAGATTGTGGGCAGAGGGTGGAGGAGATGGGAGATCACAGACTAAGAAATTTAGGTCAGTCACAGACATGGAAAACAAATTTCTGGTTACCCAAGGGGAAAGCTGGGTGGGGGAGGGATAGATTAGGAGCTTGACATTAACATATACACACTGCTGTACATAAAATAGATAAACATCAAGATCATACTGTATAGCACAGAGGTGCATGTGTATTCAGTCGTGTCTAACTCTTTGCAAGTCCATGGACTGTAGCCCACCAGACTCCCCTGTCTGGGGTTTTTCAGGCAAGAATATTGGAGTGGGTTGCCATATCTTCCTTCAGGGAATAGCACGGGGAACTATATCCAGTATCTTGTAATAAACTGTAATTGTGATGCTGGAGAGGACTCTTGAAAGTCCTTTGGACTGCAAGGAGATCAAACCAGTCAATCCTAAAGGAAATAAACCTTGAATATTCACTGGAAGGACTGATGCTGAAGTTGAAGCTCCAGTACTTTGGCCCCCTGATGCAAAGAGCCAATTCACTGGAAAAGACCCTTGCTGGGAAAGGTTGAGGGCAGGAGGAGAAGGGGGGACAGAGGATCCTCACCACAGAGGATGAGATGGCTGGATGGCATCACTGACAATGGCCATGAGTTTGCGCAAGCTCTAGGAGATGGTGGAGGACAGGGAAACCTGGTGTGCTGCAGTCCATGGGGTCACAGAGTCAGACTTGTCATAGTGACTGAACAACAATAAGCTGTAATGGAGAAGAATCTGAAAAAGGATGTATATATGTGTAACTGCATCACTTTGCTGTATACCGGGATGTAACATTGTAAACCAACCATACTTCAATTAAATAAAAAATGCAGGTCAAAGTTGATGGATAGTCTTACCATCTAAGAACCTGTGTCTCTCTCTTGACTCACAAGAAATTGAATGTCTGCACTGGGAGGCAGTGGAATTCAGTGGAAAGTGCCCAGGCTTTGATATGAAACAGACCCAGCTTCAGACAGATCCCAGCTCTGCCTCTGAGCAGCTGTGTGAACTTGGGCCAGTTTGTTTTCTCCAACTGGATGATGGTGATCCATGGTAGGGGAGGGCAGTCAGGTGATTTTAGGCTGTACTGTTTTTAACTTTGCAAATGAAAAGTGAAGTGTTAGTCACTCAGTCATGTCCAAGCCTTTGCAACTGCGTGGACTGTAGCCCACCAGGCTTTCCTGTCCATGGGATTCTCCAGGTAAGAATACTGGAGTGGATTATCACTTCCTTCTCCAGGGGATCCTCCCGACCCAGGGATCGAACCCGGGTCTCCTGCATTACAGGCAGATTCTTTACCATCTGAGCCCCCTGGGAAGCCCTTAACTTTGCAAACTTGTAATGTAAAGATTTTTACATTGTGCCCTGTCCTTTACTGCTTCCTAGAGGAAATGTTTCAGAAATATTTTGTGAGGTAAAACTTATGCAAGTTTTTTGAAAGGTGGCTATCTGATAATCTTCAGAACGTGGAAGTGGAAAAGGAAGTCATTTTGGCGTTTTCCTCCTGACGTAGGATGTCCTGGGCTGCAACCTCTCCCCGGTGCCCGGGTTCCAGACCCAGGACGAGAGTCTGGAGTACCTGTGCCATGCGGTCTCCAGAGAAGACGGCTCCTTCTCCTTCTTTTCCCTGCCGAGCGGGGGCTATACTGTGGTGAGCAAAGCTGACTTCCCTTCTGTTTATGTTTGGGAGTCTTACGACAGGAGGTATCAGTGCCCTTGGGATATCAAAGGACCGAATGGTTGTCCTGCAGTTGCACAAACATTTTATTTAGCAGTAACTTAAGGTGTGACTCTGTCCCCTCAGTAACAGCTGCAGAAAGCATAAGTCTTTTCTCTTTTAAATGTGAAACCGGTATGACTAATGGTGTCTCTTTGCCCACTTTGAACCCCTGGTTATTTGTGGGCTGCTGGCTTTGACTGTTAATATTGATGGTTGAATCATGTTCATGGCTCTTGGTAATTAACAGGCTTTTCCTTCCAGATTCCTTTCTACAGGGGAGAGAGGATTACCTTTGACGTTGCTCCTTCCAGACTTGACTTCACCGTGGAACACGACAGCCTGAAAATTGAGGTAAGGACTCCCTGCCTTCTGGAGGGATAGGTGTTGGAGTTCCCATTCCTGGGCACAGGTGTGGCAAACGTGTTCAAAAACAGTATTTATCTAAAAGCAGAATCTTATACTTTCTTCTACTTTATTCTGGCATCCACGGAATCCTTCACGTCGCTCACATAACATCTGTATCTTAGTGAATTGGAGTCCTGGTTCTGTCTACTTCATTCAGTGAGATATGTTCACTGAGTGTCAGTGACATTTTCAGCTACTCTTCTAGTGATGGGCTGATTGGCGTAATTGAAAGAGGCAAAAATTCCTATTCTTGTGTAATTCATGTTCTAATGGCAGAAAGAGACAATATAGTTATAAATAAGTAAATCAGAAAGTATATGAGAAGGTCATGTGTTCTTTAGAAACAAAGCAAGAAGGAGATTGTACAGTTTCAAGGTCAGGTGGGAGTTGAGGTCTCCTCGGTTGTACTTGTGAAGGCCTCACGGGGGAGGTGACTTTTGAGTAACGGCCTGAAGGGGAAGAGGCGGTGAAGTGTACTTACATCTGTGGGAAGAGTGTGTCAGACGGGGGCGTGGCAGGTGCAAGAGTCCTGAAGTGTGGCTGGGAGGCGTGGGGATCCCTCAGAGTGAGAGGGTGGCTGGAACGGAGGGAGTGAGGAAGGGAGGAGGAGAGGGGGTCAGAGCGGTGACGGGCAGGTCGTGCAGACCCTGCCGGGCTTTCTGGGTGACAGCTGGCACCAGTGAGAGGTTCTGAGCAGAAGCAGGTGTGCCCGCCTGGCTGCCACGTTGAGCAGAGTCTGCCAGGGGCAAGGTGGAAGCGGGGTACCAGCCTGGAGGCTGTGGCAGGAGACCAGGTGAACTGACAGAGCCGGGCCATATGGGGTGACCGGTGAGGTGATGGGTAGGGTGAGAGGTGGCCCGACAAACTCCTTAGACTTAAAACAGATGGTGAACGTGTTTTTCATCACATTTCTATCTTTAATTACAGAGGTAGAAAATGGTTACTATAGAAAATGCGCTAGGTCAAATCCCCAAAGAAAACAGCAGCCTTTTATAAGTGGACCACCTAGTGTTACAGTTATTGAAAAAATTAGCTTTTAATCGTTTTCTTTTACATTAGAAAGGACTACATTGAAGTAGCTTAAGCAGGTGGAAGCTAGCTTTTAGGTCACATGCTCAGCGGGGTTCTGACTCTGCCTTTTAAAATCCACTAAAGCATTTGACTGTTCCGCTGTGCGCTGGAGTGGGGGTCGGAGGGTAAAGGTCAAGCCCTTGGTGCTTCAAGGGACTCGCCAAGAAGGATGGGGGCAGATGAATGGGGAAACACATTTCCTGATTGCAAACCAAAGTTTTAAACAGACATGAATGGAATTTCAGGAGGCAATCTATAGGCTAAATAATGTAGGACCGCTGAGTCTGTATTTCTAACACATGATTTAGTGCCAGGTACACGGCGAATAGGTGATTTAATAAGTGGGTTAACCACGTCGTTTTAGACAAAGAGCCATCTGACTAAAGAGGAAGCCGTTTTTTTAAAGCTCTCAAGTGCAGTCACATGTATGCATTCCATCCATTCATTCAGGAGTCATTTATTGAGTGCCTACTGTGTACCAGGTGACTAAGACAGAAGAGGTCCCCGTTTTCATGGAGCCCACATTCTAGTGGGATGTAGACAAACTAGGAAGAAATCAAACAAGGACATTGGAAAGTTACTGGCTATTGGGAAGGTTTTTGCTGAAACCTCTAAAGTAGATTAGTGTGATTGTCAGTGCATGGTGGGGCAAGAGGCAGGGGCTCCCAAGAGAGGGTAGTCAGGGAGGGCGTCTTGGAGGTGGTGATGGTTTGAGCAGAACCTGAAGGATGAGATGGGGCAGCCCATCTCCCATCTTCTCCAGGTGCGGTAGGAGATCCAGGCTGAGGGAGCAGCTGGTATGAAAGCCCCACATGGTGAAGGCAAGAGGGAATCCCAGATCAGGGTGGCTGAAGCCCAGCGACTGCAGAGGGGCGGGTGCTGCCCCTCACAGGCAGGGAGGGTGCAGACACAGACCGACCTGAGAACGTGGGGTGAGGGGATGTGCAGCAGTGGAGGCCGAGCGAGGGGGTGTAGGCGGACTTAGGACTTGAATTCCGGTGTGGCGGGAAAGCAGAAGGGCCCGAGAGCCCTTGCAGAGGTGGAATCCACGGGACTGTGATGCTGGCGGGTGGGCAGCGGGGAGCACGGTGATCCTGGGTCTAGGCTGGGAGACTACTGGGTGGCCTGGCCCCCCGGAAACAGCGTCTGGAGGGGAGAGGACATGGAGGGGGGCTCTCACAGGTCTGACTCAGTAGTCTGTGGGGAAGTCAGTCTCTCGAGCATTTTCATTCAGTTATTTGACAAATAGCCATTTTTGGGGAATCTAAGGAAGAAGACAGACATGGGAAGGGATTGCTGGTGGGTGAGTCGGGAGGGAGCTGGGCTGTCTCGGGGGACCAGGAGGAGCCAGCGTGGGCCCGCGTGCTGAGCGGTGGCACGAGGAGGTTGGGGGCGCTTCCTTAGCTCAGGTACACGACAGCTTCTCCCTGTTCCTCATCTTCAGCCCGTGTTCCACGTCATGGGATTCTCTGTCACTGGGCGGGTCTTGAATGGACCAGAAGGCGAAGGTGTCCCGGATGCGGTGGTCACCCTGAACAACCAGATCAAAGGTGGGCAGACACGCTGGGCCCAGGCCTGATTGCCAGGGCTGGGTCTTGCTACAGGGGGAAATGGAAAGGAAACAAAATCTTAACGACTCTGTGAAAACAAGCCAGCTTTCGGCATCCCTGTGTAGATGAGGGACATGCAGCTGTTTTCGGCTCATCCTTTGTTGGCATATTTTTGTTCTACAGTCAAAACAAAAGCTGATGGCTCGTTCCGCCTGGAGAACATAACCACCGGGACATACACTATCCACGCCCAGAAGGAGCACCTGTACTTTGAAACCGTCACAATCAAAATCGCACCCAACACGCCTCAGCTGGCTGACATCATCGCCACAGGGTAAGGGGATCTTAGGGGGGCCGGGACTTACGTTGGAAGTCAGCAGAGAACAGAGCATCTTCAACCTGACCATGTGTTTCTGCCGTGGAGTCTCATCCAGTCTCCGGCACCTGTGGAGACTCAGCTGGCTTCTTTAGAAAGATCAGAGCTAAATGTTATAAACTGAAAATCATCTTTGCTTCCCAAAAATCATCTTGCTTCAAAATTAAAGTGAGTTTATGATAGAAGAGGGTCTGTCGTGCCTGACTTCACATCTGTGGGGCCTTCCTTGGCTTAATTGGAAGGTAGTGTAGTTGGTTGAGAACGTTGGTTGGTAAGGTGCTTCTGATCATGGTCACAGTCCTTCCTGTTTTGTTGTGCTTAGCGTGAGTTGTGAGGGGACATGCTGCGGTTGAATTCCTATATTTCGTCACACAGTGACCACGTTTAGTGCAGAGAGCCCTCGCCGTGGGGTGGAGTCTGGGTCTTTCTTATCTGCATGTTCCCTAGAGAGTGGAGGTGGGGGAGGCTGCCATCTTTTCCTTGGCAGTAGGTGCTCACTAAACAGTTACTTGGTGGCTCAGTTGGTAAAGAATCTGCTTGCACTGCAGGAGAGACCCGGGTTCGGTCCCCAGGTTGGGAAGATCCCCTGGAGAAGGGAATGACCACCCACTCTGGTATTCTTGCCTGGAGAATCCCATGGACAGAGGAGCCTGGCGGGCTATGGGGTGGGGCAGGGTCTGCATGGAGAGTGGCCTCTCAGAGCAGCGTGGTGTGGATGAGGGGGCACAGCGCCTGGTTTTGCTGGAGTGGAAAGTGCTGAGTGGACGGAGGGAGCAGGTGTCACAGGGCCTCTTCATGCCCCATTGGAAGCAGGGGGCTTTTTCCATCAGGGAGAAAAGTCAAAAGGCCCATGAACAGTTGTAAGCATGGAGGTAACATGGTTAGATTTTTGTCTTCAGTGAGACACGTTGTTGCTCTGGCGGGGAAGGCCTCGAAGGGTCGAGATGAGGGTGCGGGAGGCCTGAAAGCGGAGTTGACGAGGACCTGTCTGATGGAGAGATGTCTCGGGGCGCCCAGTCTGAGAGGGAGAGGAGCCAGGCAGGGCTGAGGCGTCAGTTGTGACCACGGGGTCCGCAGGCCCACTAGGTGGCACTCTTCACCAGGTGCTGAGATGGATTGTGAATCTGGAAGACTTGGCGGCAGAACCTGGAAAGTGTAGGAGCAGGTAGAAGTGGATCTGTGGACCGGAAATAGAATGTCAGCCCTCGAGGGGCGGCCTCAGGAGAGCCTGGGGCGGGGGCTTTAGATGTGACCTCCTGCCGGTCATGGGAGTCTGGGAGCTGAGCCCTGAAGACATGCTTTACTGGCCTGGTCACTGAGGAGGTTTTCTCTAGGCAGGTGGGGGCTCTGGGTCAGGGACTCAGCGAGGAAGCAGACCCCCGAGGAGCCTCAGGAAGTGATCCTGGGCTTCAGTTCTCCCTTTTTCACAAGCAGTTCTGAGCGGCGGCTCTGGGGGAGGCCCCGAGGTGAATGATGGGCGTGTACAGTGAGCCAGACTAACGTTGCAAAGTCAGGGCTGTGGGCTTTCCGGGAGGCAGACTTAAGGCAAGGAACCAGTGATCGTAAGGTACAGTGGGTGTGCCGGGCGCCTGGGGACCCCAGGGGACTTCCTTCAGGGTGGGGGCTGTGGAGGCGAGATCTTCGGGAGGGCTGAGGGGTAGCCGAGTGGACGACTTGGCAGGTGGAGGGGGTCAGCATGTTGCAGGAGGGGGGCCCTCCTGGAAGGGAGCTCTGGGCAGAGGGGTGGGGGGACAGGCAGCGTGGGTGGGGGTGACGGTGAGGCCTTGTGGCCATCTCGTGGGGTGGGCTTTTCCCCAGGTGAGTAGAGACTGTGGGTGGGTTTTTAGCCACGGAGCTGTGAGTCAGGGTGCTTTGGGAGGATTTTCTTTTCTTCTCCTGACTGCTGTTTGGGGAATAAATCTGTAGGGGGGGAGCCAGAGTAAACTGGAGGGAGTAAATAGGAGGTGCTGGAGGAGGTTTCTGGAGGAGATGGTGACAGGTGGGACCTGAGACTGGGTTCTGGGTGGAGGGAAGGAGTGGGTGAGTTTGATGGGTGATAGGCCTGGGCCTCAAAGCCCAGGTTTCCTGTTTCAGGCATTTGGGTAGATGGAGGAGGTACCATTCCCCATTCATGGAGGTAGGGAAACATAGTTTGATTTTACATTTATTCTTTGCAATGGAATTTTGAGTCAAAGAGAAACAGCATTCAGTGAATATCTTTGGAAAAGCTGATCATTTTCCTTTTGGTCCATATAAGCACGTTTGTCTTTTAATTCATTGATACTACTTTTTCTTTTATTCCCTTTTAAAACGTTATTTATTTGAAAAAGAAAAAAAAACTGAGTTAAATGACAGTGAGAATGTAGCTGTCTCAGTCGGCACCAGAATTACTAATTTTCTCTCCATAAATGTATTAAATTCTGATGAAAGATTTTTTTTTTTTCAGAGTTTAAACTTTTTATTTTGTTTTGGGGTATAGCCCATTACCAATGTTGTCTGATGAAAGAATTTATTGACACAAATTGATTCTTAAGGGCTTCAATGTAACAAACACTCTCCTACCAGCTTTTTAGTTCTTTTTCTAAACTAATGTGTATTTGAGGTTTAGTGTAATTGGTCACTTCTCTTTAATGGAGAATTTGAGTAAAACAGGTTAAAGTAACATAACAGTAACCATAACAGGTCATATGGTTAAAGTATTAAAACTTAGGCAAAGGAGTCCAACTTTTTTTTTTTTTTAATTTATTTTTTTCCATTTATTTTCATTAAGGAGTCCAACTTATAATGAATAAGGGGACTTCCCCTCCTGAAAAAGACACAAATGAAGAGAGTATGGAAGCCTTGAGAACAATGCTTTCAGAATTCCCTTCCTGTCGATTTTCTCTGAAAGCACACAGTGGGGAACCAAAAAAAAGGGCAAACCTTTGCATCCAGATCAGGGCTTGGCACACTTTTTTTCCGTCAAAGACCAGAGAATAAATATTTTAGACTTCATGGGCTCATACAGTCTTTGTGACGAAGCCCACCATAGACAATTCATAAATGAATGGGCGTGGCCATGTTCCAGGAAAACTTTATGTGTGCACACTATAATGATATACTTTTTATATGTCATGAGAGAGTCTTTTGATTTTTTTCCCCCTTTTTAACCCTTTAAAAGTGTGAAAACCATTCTTACCTCGTGGCCCCAACCAAAACAGGTGGCTGGTGTGACTTGCCCCGTGGGCTGTGGTGTCTTACCCCCTGCTGTCCAGCCTGAACCCTCGTGGCCAGCCTGGTCCCGTCCATCTAGAGCAGTGGTCCCCAACCTTTTAGGCACCAGGGACCTGTTTTTTTTTTTTTTTTTTTCTTTTTTGAGATCTGTTTTTTGGAAGACAGTTTTTCCATGGTCTAGGGGAAGGCGGGGGCTTCTGTGATGATTCAGGTACTTTATTTATTTACTGTGCACTTTATTTCTTTATGACATCAGCTCCACCTCAGATCATCAGGCAGTGATTAGACCCAGGAGGCTGGGACCTCCGCTCTGGAGAGATGACTGTGCCCTGCACGGCTTCATGGTTCCTTGTGCTGTTTTTTCTTTGCAGCTGAGTGGGCATGCCAGCATCCAGTGTACCCCCTTATTATCCAGCACTGAATCCAGCGTTTTTTATTCTCTTCCTGTCAAAAGTAACAGCTGATTTTTATCTAAAGCGATTCTCTTTAAGATTACAAAATGTAAATTTTAGGCAGTTGAAGAATTGCTTGTGACCTCCAGCTGTGGGACATGATTACAACTGACTGAACATGAAGATGGCCACTCAGTGGACACTGGGCTTTGCTGGTGTTTGTTAGCGGGTGGATGTGCCTTTCATGTGCTTCTGGAAATGTGCTATGTGGTACTTGACACTCTGCTCATTTGCAGTCTCCAGTCTGAGTCGTTACCTTAATAGGGCTTTCCAATTATAAGTTGCTTCTGTAGCTCCAACTCCTAAGGAGTTCAATTTTAGCTCTGCATTTCTTTAAACTTAATTACCTTTCCTATTCAGATCTCTCAGATTGCTTTTCTCTGTGCGTTATGTATACTCACAGGCGAGGGAGCTGTCTTTGATAACCCTGCCTTGTTTTGCCGCCTGGGTAATACCGCACTTCCTCAGGCAGCTCACAGCTCTTGCTTTTAAGGACTTGCCCACATTCTCAGTTCGTGGCTGCTCCACCGCCAACGACCCAATTACCTGAAACATTTTTATCATCTACAAATTGTCTGAAAACCGCTTCTGCAGTGGGGAAGGGCCAGCTGTCACCCAGAACACACAAACAGCCCTGCCCCAGGCCCACCCTCTGCCTTTCCATGTGCAGAAAGTGCTCCAGTCTTCTTTCTAATGATTGCTTGTGAAATTGGAGTCGTTGGGGCTGTATTCCTGTCTCTTCGTTAAGATCACACTAGTCTCTGGGATGCAGGCTGGAAGCGGGATGCCGAGTCTGGGTTGCCAAGCACCTTTCCTGTGATAATTGAGTTCTCCTGATGGGCTGAATGGTCTTCTTGTTGCAGGTTCAGTGTCTGTGGCCAGATATCAATCATTCGCTTCCCTGACCCTGTCAAGCAGATGAGTAAATACAAAGTTGTCCTGGCCTCTCAAGACAAGGACAAGTCTTTGGTCACCGTGGAGACGGACGCTCAGGGATCATTCTGCTTTAAAGCGAAACCAGGGACCTACAAAGTTCAGGTACGATGAATTTTGTTCCGTTTAAGATATTCGAAAAACAGACAACAACAACAACGATTTGAAAGGGTTATTTTAAGATGGGATCAGAGAAGGAGCATTTTCATTCCCAGCTTCTTATTTTGAAAACTTGACATTCCTGCGTGTCATAGTCAGCGGAGCAGACAGGCAGCTGGCTTGAGAGCATGCAACAGGTGCTTCCCTTTTCCTGTCCTGATGTTTATTAGGGTTAGTATCAGGCTGCCGGTCACACGTCTGCCTCCGCAGGCTTCTGGCTGCTGTAGAATATCCACGGGTCCCCAGAAGAGATCAGAGTGAACGCTCTATTAGTGGCAGCTCAGTTACATCCACAGAGCATGGCTTCTGGACCCTGAGGCCAGAATGGAGCTTCCCATTTCCTGCCCTGCTGTAAATTGAAGATGCTGAGCAGGCACCACCTGATTCCCCCATCCATCTCCCTGGTGGAGAAGCTGGGGAGACCCTGACCTGTGGTCTCACCGCCGGGATGAAGGCCTGAGCACAGGTGGGGGCAGGAGGCCAGAGGTAAGACAAAAGCAGAGGTCAGCCCACCAGCCCCACACTGGGACCATGTCTTAGTGGGTCTCAGGCTCTAATACATCAAGTCAGCTGCTGCTCCTCCTCCTCCATGGGGAGGAGCAGGGGATGGGTGAGGGGAGGGAGTCAGGGAGGTTCCTTCTAAGGCTTTGCTCTCCTCCAGGCCAGTGGGATCTCCCAACTCTGAGGGGATGGGGTAGGGGCACAGCTTTCCCCCTGCGTCCACGAACAGCATGCTGGGTGGGTGGTCAGCTTCTTTACCAGCCAGCCATCTTCTTGTGATGTTGACCACATAGACAAGCCTTTGGAGACTCCTTCAGAGGCACAATCAGGAACTTTTCCGAGGAAGGGCAGTTCTGGAATGTGATCTCTCTAGGGATGAAGAAGGTCAGCACCACCTCCTCTCCCAGCCCCTCTTGTGAGCCTGAGAAATGTGCGCAGAAATGAGGGAAGGTCCACTGTTGGTCATCCACGTGGGTCAGCAAGCTCACAGTGCATGTCACAAGTGACCTCATGCCAGAATCAGGTTCTGGATTTAGTGTGGTCTCCACCCAGGATTCACATGATCGATAACAGCTTTGTGTGCCCCGATACACTTTAATGTGCACCCTGACACCGCGGAAGGCTGGTGTTCTATGTCTGATTAGAAATACCTTTTCTTCACACCATCAATACGCAGATTTGTTGTGATTATAAATCTTTGCCTAGGAATGCACCTTCTCCTTCAGACTCCGTCTGGCCTCATGCCCAGGTGGGTGATCTGGGGTCCTGTTGGCCAGGGAGCAGCGACCCTGAGGTGGCTGCTGACGTTGTCCTGTGTGTCCCGCAGGTGATGGTTCCTGAGGCAGAGACCAGGGCGGGGCTGACGCTGAAACCCCAGATGCTGCTGCTGGCTGTGACTGATAGGCCTGTGATGGACGTGGCCTTTGTGCAGTTTTTGGCATCGGTTTCTGGGAAAGTCTCTTGTCTGGGTAAGATGTCAGTTGAAAGCAAGAACAGATGAGTTGGAAGAAGCAGGCGGAGAGAAGTGGGGTTTGGGTGGGCTCTTCCTCACTGGGCGGCGGCGAAGGTGGCAACACAAGCTGACCTGGGGAGTGGTGTGTGCGAGGCCGTGGTGTGTGCAGTTCTTTCTGAATAATCGCTGCAATCTCCAGGAACCTTTCTCTTGGAATACCCCTGCTTTGGCTCCCAAAAGAACATGTGGGATTCTTTTTCTGAAAGGAGTTGGGCCCAGGTTTCCATCCTGGCTCTGTCATTTACCAGTATGAGACTGTAAGCATTTACTTGCCCAGCCTCAGTTTTCCTTCAATAAAATGGGAATACTGCTGCTTTCAGAGGGTTTTAATGAGGCTTATATGCAGTCATATCAAGAGGCTGTATAGCATAGTGGTTAAGATCGTAGACTCTGGAACCAGATCACATGGGTTTGAACCATTGTTATGTGATGTAGGGTAAGTTACTTAACCTCTCTGTGTTTTGAGTCCCTCATCTGTAATGTGGAGATGTTAATAGTACCTGCCTCAAAAGATTATTGTGACGATCAAAGGAGTTAATGTGTGTATGGTAAAGAATCTGCCTGCAATGTGGGAGACCCAGGATTGATCCCTAGGTCAGGAAGATCCCCTGGAGAAGGGCATGGCAACCCCCTCCAGTATTCTTGCCTGGAGAATCCCATGAACAGAGGAGCCTGGTGAGCTACAGTCCATGGATTCGCAAAGAGTCTGACACGACTGAGCAGCTAACACTTTTTCATAGCCATTAGAAGTACTTGGAACACAGCAAGAGCCATCTAAATCTTTGCCATTATTAGTAATATGATGACGATGATAAAGGGCCCAGTTCTATACCTGGTATGAAGTGGGCATTCAAGAAAGTTTCATTGCCTCTCTGACTTTTTCTCTGGCTCCCATTGATGCCCATAGATATTGTTTCTGCCATTGCAGTAAGTGCTGGGCAGCCTCATTGCTTGCTGCCAGTGCTTACATGGTGGGAGAGGCGGGGGTGTGGGGGAACGTCTTAGAATCAAGTAGGCGCCCGTTAGCTTTGAAGGACCCCTCCTGGTGCTGCCCTTCAGGCGCAGAGCGGTAGCAAGCATGCACAGAGGTTGAGGGCTCGAACTGGTGCTGTGCTTCCCACGGCCGTCGAGTGAGGCCTCCTGCATCTTTTCTCTGCAGACACTTGCGGTGACCTGCTGGTGACCCTGCAGTCCCTGAGCCGCCAGGGCGAGAAGCGGAGCCTCCAGCTCTCTGGCAAGGTCAACTCAATGACTTTCATGTTTGACAACGTGCTGCCCGGAAAATACAAGAGTAAGAACTGAAGGCAGCACTTCCTGTCTTTGTATACTTTCTGAAAACCCACTCGCTAGCTGCATCCCAACTATACGGCTGTACTTGTTTAACTCTTGTTTGTCCTTTGACCTTGAATTTGCATTATTTAGCTTGGGCAGTAATGCAGGAGTTGAGGCTTTGTGAACCAACTGCCACCTCATCAGGATGACCCACACACTTCTCTTCATGCCATTTTATTTGTAAATTCCTGAAAACAGTGTCACATGATTACACCAACGTGTTCTCCTGCTTAGCAGCTGTGTGAGCCTGGCAGCTTACTTGATCTCCCCAGGACTTGGTTTCCCCTCCTGAAGTAGGAGTCACAGAACCTTTCTGCAGTGATGGAATCCGGTTTGTAAAGCCCTGGCACAGTGCCTGGGGTGGAGGAGGCACTTTTCTTCGCCTTCCTCAAGAAGCTGCCCGTTGCCTATGTTTTTGCTCTGTCAGAATTCAGCTTGAAGCTGCTGGCTGTAAACAGCTTAGAAAGTAGTAGACTGATTTTTCAGGCAAATTATGTTATCTGTTAATGTCAGGTGTTGGCAAACTATGGTCTGAGGGTGACTGCCTATTTTTATGAATAAAGGTTTACTGGAGCACAGCCACGCCCATTTGTTTGTGTGTCGTCTGTGGCTGCCTGTGTGCTGCCGAGGCAGAGTTGAATAGTTGAGACCGTGTGGCCTGCAGAGGTGACAATATTTACTCTCTGGCCCCTTACAGAGCAAGTTTGCCAGTGTCTGAATGTCTTACCTATAACCTGGTCTTAGGCTCAGTTGGATTTCTTTGTTAGTGATTTTAATGGCCATTGGTTTCAGTTTTTTTTTTTTTTCTCCTTTAGCAATTAGTTATTCCCAGCATGGCCAGCTCTATATATATACCTGCACACACACGTATTTGTTTGTATGTATGTGCATATAGGGGCTTTCCTGGTGGTTCAGTGGTGATGAATTCACCTGCCAAAGCAGGAGACACAGATTTGATCCCTGGGTTGGGAAGATCTCTTGGAGAAGAGCGTGGCAACCCACTCCAGTATTCTTGCCTGGGGAGTCCCATGGACAGAGGGGCCTGGTGGGCTGCAGCCCGTGGGGTCTCAAAAGAGTCGGACACGACTGAGTGACTCGACAATAAGAGCAGCGTGTGTATAAACTTGCTCCCGCACTTCGTTAGCGCTGTTTTTCTGGGGGTATTTAGGGAGGTGGTGCGCTCTGCCCACATGGGGGTCCGTGTTCTGTCCTTTGCAGTCAGCATCCTGCATGAAGACTGGTGCTGGAAGAACAAGAGTCTGGAGGTGGAGGTGCTGGAGGACGACGTGCCCGCCGTTGAGTTCAGGCAGACGGGCTACATGCTCCGGTGCTCTCTTTCCCACGCCATCACTCTGGTAAGCCGGCTGCTAAGGAGGCTTCATTTGGAAGGACACTCGCCCTGTGGAAAGTGAGAAGGACTAGTGTGCCAAGAGGATCGTCAGCATAGTCAAGCCAGATTTCCTTTTCTGCCCCTCAGCTCACCCACCTATTATGGAAACACTGTCAGGAAGCATTTTAAGTCCCTTAGTGGAAAGATGCCTTTATTGGGGAGAGTTCCTTGTCCTGGCTCCACGTTAAAACTAACTTTGACTAGTGATTTAGGAAAGCCGTTGATGTAGTGCAGAGCATGTGGGCTTTTTAGGCCTGGCCAAGTTCGAGTAATGTTTGTGAGCCTCCGTTTTCTCTTCTGAATTTGAGATCGTAATACTCACTCCCCAGGGTTGCAGTGAGGTATGAGGAAATCTCTTAGGTATTAGAAGTTTTCCTGTGTACCCTGCTCTTGCTTATGAACAGGTGTGGCTGGGCAGAGCTGGTTGTCCTCTTGCAGCCTCTGTGGCTGGGTTGGCAGTTACCCAGGGGGTTTTAGGAACGGGAGCATCTGTGTCGCCCTGTGTAGGTCCGTTCCTGAGCGTCGTATAATCTCCTGACTTCTGGCAATGGCAGGTGTCATTGTCCGGTCTCAGGGCAAAACGGGGGCAAATGACAATTAAGTGGCTGCTTGTGTTTAACACCAGAGCAGTGAGACTGGTCTCTCTAATGCCAGTTGAATGCTCGAACCACTCAACTACCACTGGTCCCAGACAGCTTTGTTACAGGAAACGGGTTGATTAATATCCGGTTGAGAACAAGCGAGAGACATTCGGGAAACCATTGCTTGATTTCCATTTCTCTTAGACTAAGAATGTACTCCTAATGACAGCCAGCCCTTCACTGACTCCACCTCACCCCCTTCCCCTCTCCCTCTCATTTACTGGGCCTTGGCACACCAGCTGCCTTCAGTTCCACACCAAGCTTGGTCCCTTCTCCGGCCCTTTGCACATATTCTCTGCGCGAAATGCTGCGTCTTCTCCACAACTGAGCGTAGTTGCTTTTTCTCATTATTCAGGCTAAAGCCCCAGTGTTACCTGCTCGGGGCGGGGCCTATCTTGAGGCCAAGCTGAACAAGCCTCTGCGGTGGGCGCTGTCTCCTGCTCCCTGTTTATTTCCTGCTAAGCTCAATGACTTCCTAGCTGAAATCTACTGACTTCTCTATTGACTGCATGGATTTTCTGTCTTCCCACATCAGAATGTAAACCACGCTGAAAACAAGAGCCGTGGCAGCCAACAGGGTCTAGCCTAGGGTCTGCCGCATAGCAGGTGCTCAGTAAATGTTAGTTGATTGAATGAGAGAGATCACGCTTCTGTTGGAAGTTTTGGAAGACTTTTAATTTTCCCCTGGCATCCAGCTGTTCAAATGATTAATGTGCAAAACAGATGACTGGTTCAGAAACAGAAATCTTATTCATCATCTGGGTGTCTCCATCTTCCCTGGTAAGGCATTGTATTGGCTTTGCTCCCTTAGGAATTTTACCAGGATGGGAATGGACCTGAGAACGTGGGGATTTATAACCTCTCCAAAGGAGTCAACCGATTCTGCCTGTCCAAGCCCGGTGAGTCTGGAAGGATTGATGTCCTCTGAGTGAGGGAAATGGAGAGGCTCTCGAGGGTGTTTTCAGAGGTGTTTTTCCCCATCTCGGTTCAGTTTGCATCAAGCTATCAATTTTGGTTGTGGGTAACGCCCCTGGAGGGAGCAGCATTTTTACCCAGAGAATTAGAGCTGGGGGTTGGCACATGTTCCCAGGCTCTTGAGTTTGAGTTGGGTCCAGACCACGGGGCCCTTTCACTTCTAAAAATTGAACACCATCAGCCCATGACCTCTCCTGGTGAGTGATCACTCCCACCTTGCTTAAAATCCTTCAGTGGCTTCTTTCTCTTTTTGTTAATCACTTTATTGAGATACAATTTGCAGACCATAAAATTCACCCACTTAAAATGTACAATGCAGTGATTTTTAGTAAATATACTTAGCCATACAACCATATAATCCAGTTCAGAACATTTTCATTGTTCCAGTGGTTCCTTCCTACATGTTTACAGTTCATCTCTATTCCCAGCTTTTGGCAACCACTAATCTATTTTCTGTCTCTGTGAATTTGCCTTGTTTGGACACTTTATATAGTGAGCTTGTACAATACTGTTATTATTTAGGCTCCTTTCACTTAGCATAATGTTTTTGAAGTTCATTCAGGTCATAGCAGATGTTAATAATTTGTTCCTTTTTATTGGTGAACAGTATTCTGTAGCATGGATGTATCCATTTTTTTTTTTTTTTTGGTATCCATTCACCAGTTGGTGGGTATTTGAATTGTTTCCAGTTTGGGGCTATTATGAATAATGTTGCTGTGAACATTGGTGTACAGGTTTTGTGTGGACATCTGTTGGGGAGATACCTAGGAATGGAATCAAATGATAAATTTATGCTTAATTTTTTCAGAAACTGCCAAAATATTTTCTGAGAATGCTGTATTTGCCATTTGATATTCCCACCAGCTATGTCTGAGGGTTTCGGTTTTTCTACCTCTTTACCATTATTTGTTACTATCTTTTTGATTTGTAGCATCCTGGTGGTTCTAAAGTAGTTTTATTTTGTGTTTTCCTAATGAATAATTTTGGGATTTCTGTTGGTTCTCAAGATAAAGTACAGTAACCTCCATTAACCCACGGTTTCACATCCCACAGTTTCAGTTACCTCTGGTCGACTGCATTCCAAAAATATTAAATGGGAAATTCCAGAAATAAACAGTTTATACCTTTTAAATTGCCTGCCTTCCGAGTAGCATGGTGAAGTCTCTGACTGTCTTGCTCCTGTTCGGCCCTTTAGCACATCTGCATATGTGTTACTCACCTGTTAGTGTAGATAAAAACTTAGTACATAGAGGGTTTGGTACTATCTGTGATTTCAGGCATCCCCTGGGGGTCTTCCCACGTGTACACCACGGATAGGGCACAGTCATGTACAAAACGCTTAATCAGACCTTGAGCTGCTGTGTAACCTAGCTCTACCTGTCACTCTGTTCCAGCCACTGTGTTCTGTGTTTTAATTAGGATGCCTTTGGCTGCAAGTAACAAAATCTGTATGACAACCCCTGACAAGTGGGGTTAATTTGGTTCATTAACAAAGACTAGCGGCAGTACTTCTCTGGTGGTGCAGTGGTTAAGATTCTGCCCTTCCAATGCAGGGGACACGGGTTTGATCCCTGTTTGGGGAACTAAGATCCCACATGCCATACAGTACGACCGAAAAATGAAAACAAAACAAAACAAAGACTTAACAGCTCAGGCGTGGGCTCAGATGGTAGGTGTTAGGGTTGGTGTCTTTGTGATTCTTTTACCTCTTTCCCTTGCTTTTTTTTTAAATAAACTATGCTCTTAATTCTTTTTTTTTTTTAATTTTTAAAAAGTGTATTCTCTGCTTGGTCTTTGTTACTGTGTGGGCTGTTCTTTAGTTGCAGTGAGCAGGCTTCTCACTGTGGTGGTTTCTCTTGTTGCTGAGCATGGGCTCTTGGGCCCACAGGCTTCAGTAATTGCAGCTCCTGGGCCCTAAAGCGCTGGCTCAATTGTTGTGGTGCAGTGACTAAACAACAGCAGAACGGGCTTAGTTGCTCCGTGGCATGTGGAATCTTCCTGGACCAGAGTTCAAACCCTTGTCTCCTGCCTTGGCAGGTGGATTCTTTACCATTGAGGCACTGGGGAAACCCCCACTTTTTTTTTTTTTCTTTCTTTGTTTTCAAGGTGCCAACTGTTGCTCCAGAAAACTTATGTTTAGGGCAAGAAGGTGAGAGGAGGGGTGGGCAAACATTTTCCACGCCACATCCTCCAGGAAACTTCCCTTATGTGTTATCATCCAGAACCCTGTCTCATGGCCACTTCTAGCTGCAAGGGAGCCTGGGGCAGCTGGATTTGCTGCTGGAGGCTGGCATGCTTTCACCCTGAACATAAGCGGGAGCTGGTTTGAAGGCAGGAAGGCAGCTGTTAGGGGGGCGGCCAGCAAGCCTGTGGTTCAGGTGTGTGCGCTGCCTCAGTGCCTACTACCCCCACCCCCACCCCCCTTCACCTAGCCCTGCCGGCCCGCCTGTCACTTCTTGGTTCCAATGTTCCTCCCCAGGGAGGCTAGTGCCCCAGTGTCGCTGGGAGCTCGCTACCTCGTGCCCACGAGGCCTGGGTCCTCCCTGGACCGCACCCATCACACCTGGTGGCTGTAGAACTCCTCTCTCTCTCTCTGTAGATGGCAGATCCCGTGAAGGCAGGGACTCTCTGTGTTCCCCACTCTGTGTCAACACTTGGTACAACACCTGGCCCGAGTGTTGGCCTGTCAACATTTGTCAAATGAAAGAACAAAGAAAATGAATGAAGAAACCTAATAATTTTTTTTTTTTAGGTAACTGCACTGAGGCTTCATCAGTGTGATGAGAACCGCAGAGGTGATTTGAATGAATTTCATGTTGGGTTAGGCAGATGGCCAGAATACTGGTGAAAGATCATTTGGGAGAATCCACTGTTACACTCGGCTCCTTCCTCAAACTGTATTCTTCTGGCAAACGACATCATATGTCCTTAATCTGAGTGTTAGCCTGATTAGCTCATGGAGTGGAAGTGTTTTCTGTAGTTATTTCTTGGTTTTTCTGGGACTTCTCTGCCCCATGCACCTTTTAGGAATATTTATAGGACGGAATCCAGACTGTGACAGTCTTTGGATCTTTAACAGAATCTGTTAAGTAGGAAATTCTCAGTCTGAATCCCAGTACAAATGTACTTCCTGTTCCTCCTCGTGCATGTGTGTTAGCTTGGTCTGCACAGGCTGAACTACTGTGAGCTGTTAAATGATGGAAAATGAAAATCTTGACCTGGTGAGCAGACCTTTGAGTGGGTAGGTCATTGGTAAGAAGCCGTCCATAGGCAGTGGAAAATGCATTTCTGATCCGGTATGTGATATGTTAGGAAGGAGAGGCACCGCCTTGGGACTCCAGATGTTGGAATTGCTCAGTGGAATAGATGCTCTTCTCTGAAAATGACATTTGATTTCCTGGCTTCAGGTGTGTACAAGGTGACCCCTCGCTCCTGCCACCGGTTCGAGCAAGCGTTCTACACCTATGACACGTAAGCCGGGTGCTGACCGCTCTTGTGGTGTCTGTGGAGGGGAGTGAGCGTGGATCTCTGCGACAGTTATTTCTGAGAACAAGGGGAGTTTTTGCATGTTTTCTGGAAGCAGTAAGGTTAGGCAGTGAAAAGAATTTGTAGATAAGGATTTTAAGACACTTGGGTAAATTACCGCGGAAGCGAAGATAGAGCTCTTCTCCAAGAATTCTGTAAACCCAGGACGGAAGACTGTGGTTTTGATCTGGCTTGAATGTAACGTCTGTTGAATCTTCCAGCCTCACTGATAGGAATTTCTCAAGCTCAAGTCTGCCATTTTTCCTGTTTTTACAAATGCTTGGGGGTTTCACTGGGAATTAGAGACGTAAAGTTTGGGAATGGAGAATCCGTTTACCCTTAAAGACACTTATATGTATTTCAGAAGTTTTTTCATGCCAAGCTAAGAGCAGTTTCACATAGTATATTTCAGGGTCAGGAAGGTCGCCCATAAAGGGCATTGTTTGTGATCCTTTGAGGGCGTCGAGGCGATGTTATGGTGTTTTCTTTCCACCTCTCTGATTTACAGGTCTTCACCCAGTATCTTGACATTGACAGCCATTCGCCACCACGTCCTTGGAACGATCACCACTGACAAGATGATGGATGTGACCGTGACAATCAAGTAAGGCTGGTGCTCCCATGGGCCGAGCGTGGGAGGGTGGGGGGCCAGGCCATCTTCTCTCAGAGCTGCTCTGAAAACTATTTTTGATTTGTTATCTCTAGGTATACATACAAATGGCCTTCCCTCTTATATGACATGGCCGTGAATTCACAACAGCTCTCCTTTCGTTTTATGATTCAGGAATTAACCGTGGATGAGGAAGAGCCTCCTGACAGCTCGTTTCAGTGCCTTAAATTTCTGCTTGAGCTCTTTACACTTCCTGTCTCTGCTAAGGGAAAAAAAAAATCTCTGGTTTGTTCACTGTATTTCAAGTGTTTTAGCAGATTCAAAAAAATTTGCCCATTTTTCTTTAGACCCTTTCTGGAAGGCTTGGGAAATAGAGATGACACCTTAGGTGAGAAGGATCTTGAGAGAAAGTGGATGAAAGGCACTCCCTCGCTGAGGGTCAGGTTTGCTTGCATGTCACCTTTGAGAGGAATTTTTGCTCTGTGGTGGCTGCATCTGACACCCTAATTTTCTCAAGAAACGAAAGAGTTTTAACAGTATGACTGCTTTTGTCAAAGAGAATGGATATCTGAGTAACTTTCTTCCAATTTACCTTATTTGAAGTTGCTTTCCCAGCCATGTCTCCATTTCTCTGTACACCTCCTGTTCACCCATCCATCTGTGAAGAAAATATTTATGGAGAATCCTCAGTGTTGTGTTAAGGCACTGGGCACAGGCCGCAGCCCCTGCCCTCGTGGAACTTACAGTCTCACGAGGGAGGCAGCTAGTAGTCCAGAGCTATAACAATGCAGCTGCGTTAAGTGCTTTGCACAGAACAGGCTTCCCTGATAGCTTAGTTGGTAAAGAATCTGCCTGCAGTGCTGGAGACCCTGGTTTGATTCCTGGGTTGGGAAGATCTGCTGGAGAAAGGATAGGCTACCCACTTCAGTATTCTTGGGCTTCCCTTGTGGCTTAGTTGGTGAGGAATCCGCCTGCAATACGGGAGACCTGGGTTTGATTCCTGGGTTGGGAAGATGCCCTGGAGAAGGGAATGGCCACCCACTCCAGTATTCTGGCCTGGAGAATTCCATGGACTGTGAAGTCCATGGAGTTGTAAAGAGTTGGACACAACTGAGTGACTTTCACTTTTTGGCTTCCCTGATAGCTCAATTGGTAAAGAATCTGCCTGCAGTGCAGGAGACCCTGGTTTGATTCTGGGTTGGGAAGATGCCCTGGAGGAAGGAGAGGCTACCCACTCCAGTATTCTAGCCTGGAGAATTCCCTGGACTGTACAGTCCATGGGGTCACAAAGAGTTGACACGACTGAGCGACTTTCACTTAAGTGCTTTGAATTTTTCCTTGTTGGAGGGATTGGAGTCCATGCAAGAGAGGTAGGCTGCTGGGGTCAGCCCACGTTAAGGGTTTTAGCTTTGTCCCTGGATACTCTGACATAGTTCAAGTAGATGGATCATGCTTTTTGTTTGAAGAAAGTCCCCCTGGGTGCTGAGCAGAGAACAGATACAAGAGGCCCAGGAGTGGAAGTTGCCCAAGGCGGAGGGCAGAGAGCCCTGTAGGAGACCAGGTGAGGGGGTGGGGGCTTCGTCCAGACGGTGGCAGTGAGTGGGGAGCAGTGGGCAGATCGGAGGTCATCGGGCAGGCTGAGTGGGGAGACATGGCAGCAGGCTGACCACGTGGGCTCAGGAAGGGAAGAATATCGGGGGCAGCTGTTGGTCTCTGACTTGATTATTGGGGTTCATATTCACCAGGGTGACCAGGTGGTGCCGGCACAACACCTTTAAGTATTTTCCTGCCTGGAAAGTATGAATTACTGGTATGACTAGGAATTCATATTTTTACCAGTAGTGAGTCCATGTTATATTGTTTTTGGTCTTCATCAAGTTTATTTTGGTAACCTCAGAAGAGATTTTGTGTTGTTGGTTTGTGCTGACAGTTACATGAAATGCAGCTGGACATGGCCAGGGGCGGGGTCCTTACAGGGATCTTGTACTTCTCAGACCCAGCACTGGGCTCTGGTGGTCGCCCTCCATAAACCTCCTCTGTAGCCTTCCCTATTTCATATATGGCAGCTCCATCTTTCTCGTTGGTCCTTGGCAAATCTTTTTTTCTCTTGCATTGCATACCTAGCCGATCGACCTGCAAATCCTGGGCTCTAAATCCATGGGAGTTGGTTCCAAGATCCCCTGTGGTTATCAGAATCTGCAGATGATCGAGTCCCTTATAAAGCAGAGTCCCTTTGCATATAACCTACGCACATCCTCCCCTGTGCTTTAAATATACTTTAAATCATCTCTGGGTTACTTACACTATCCAATACAATGTAAATGCTATGTAAATAGTTGTAAATACAATGTAAATGATATGTAAATAGTTACCAGCATGTGGCAAATTCAAGTTCTGCTTTTTGGAACTTTTTGGAATCCTCCCCCCCACACACACATTTTCCATCTGATTGGTTGAATCCTCAGATGTGGAACCTGTGGAAATGGAGGGCTGACTGTACATCCGACATCCGTTTGTTTCTTAGCACTTGGCCTCTATACTTTGGTTTGACCCACTGTTGTCTCTTGCCAGTTTTGTTGCTGTAGCTTCCTGTCTGACCTCTGTGTTTTGGCTGTTGCTTCATAATAGTGTTGTTCATATGGAATCAGAGTGATCTTAGGAGAGACCCTGTCATCTCTTTAAAACTCCACCCAGCCTGGGTCCAGCCAAGGTTTGCAAAGACGTTGTCTGACCCCTGATCTGACTCTGCCTGGGTCCCCCTGTCCCCCTTCCTGGTCTCCTTGCTGTCCCTGGAGCATGGCCAGGGAGCTGCCTCCACGGCTCTGAGACTTTCTCACCTTTTGCCTGGGGCCTCCTCACCCAGAGCCTGTGGCTTGCTCTCTTCCTTCCTTCAAGTTGGCTTGGTGTCGCCTGATCAGAAAGGCCTGTGCTCAGTCGCTCAGTTGTATCTGAGTCTTTGTGACCCCATGGACTGTAGCCCGCCAGGCTCTTCTGTCCATGGAATTTTCCAGGCAAGAAAACTGGAGTGGATTGCCATTCCTTCTCTGAGAAAGGCCTGAGTCCCTAATACAATATTGTCCCCTCCTCCATCCCTGCACGCCTAGCTCTCTCATCTTTCCACACTGCTTTATTTTTCTTTGCTGCACTTATCATCTCACATCATTTTTCTGTTGGTCGTCTACCTCTTCCCACGAATGTGGATTCCACAGGTTAGGGCATGTTGTCTGTCACAGTCTCCCTAGCCCCTGATTCTCTTGCAGAGCACTTTCTCAGTAAAGATGGAAAGAAAGATGGAAGGGACTCTACGTCCTTCGGGAAGTTGACAATTTCCTTCAAATCATAGTCAGTGATACTTCATCTCAGCCCAGATCTCCCAGATGCTTTCACATGGTGAAAAAGTTCAGTTTCCTGTTGTTTTTTTTTAAACTGTTTATCCCAAACAGGGAAAGACTGTGCCACAGTTGGTGGCCTTATGAGGTGCTTGGCTTTTTTTTTTTAACTGATGGATCTCTGCTTGCAGAAGGGTCTGATTTCCACCGACCTCAGGGGTCCCTGACTCCGTGTTCTGGGCTGCTCCTTTCTTCCAGGTCTTCCATTGACAGCGAGCCCGCCCTGGTCCTCGGCCCCCTGAAGTCTGTGCAGGAGCTGCGGAGGGAGCAGCAGCTGGCCGAGATCGAGAGCCGCAGGCAAGAACGGGAGAAGAGCGGCGGAGAGGCTGGCAGCGAGGGGAGGACCAAGCCCCCTGCGCAGGAGATGGTGGACGAGTTGCAGGGCCCCTTCTCCTACGACTTTTCCTACTGGGCCCGGTAAGCGCCCATGGTGGGCTTTCCCTGCAGGGTCCCTCTGTTCGGATGTCCTTCCTTCTGGGGGGACAGGCCAGCCACATTGAAGTGTGTCTTCATTATTTTAGGTCCGGAGAGAAAATCACTGTCACTCCTTCATCTAAAGAGCTGCTCTTTTATCCTCCTTCCATGGAAGCCACCGTCAGTGGAGGTAAATGTCAGCCCAGCTAGCCGACGACACACCTTTATAACTGTTCTTTTCCCTGCATTTAGGATTGTGTTCTATGCTGTTTTAGAGTGAAGCCATCTTCGTAAGGCATCTTCAGTCCCTGTTGGCGCATAGATGTTACTATTTGATGAGTGAGTGAATGAGTGAGACGTCTAAATCAGTAAACGTAACTCTCACTGTTAGAATTGGGGATCTTTTTGAAAAAGGACTTGCTTTTCCTTGATGTTATCAGGTTGACACCAGAAGGCAGATGAAAAGCAACAGCATCCATTGTCGAAACGTCTGAAATGTCTTCATGTATCTGAACTGTTAGGGATGTTTGTTTTGGGCTGGGGTGATGGAAGGGTCTTTTGGGGATGAGATAACCAGGAGCTGGTGGAATGTTTAGGCAGCTTTCGCCAGCATCGAGGGTTCAGTAAACCCTGACCATTTGTGTGTTTGGAAGGAGAGTGTTGAAGGGCGTGGCTGTCCAGCGGGCAGCCTGTCTGGGGCCGCCTTCCAGGCTGGGTCCTCTGAGGTCTGGCCACGCAGGCTCTGACCTGAGGTGCTGGCCTCTCGCCTCACTGTGGTCAGTGAGGGCTGAGGAACAGGAGCTGGGGAGAGCCAGCTTTGTTGGCTCCTCCTGCTAACATTCCTGACAGTTTAACAGGGCCGTTCATAAATATTGAGAGGCTTGGACCACTTGAAGTTACTGAGGATTCTGAGATAGTCAAAAGCCTCACTGGAGTTAGCTTCAGATATCTCAGTTTTAGGCCCTTCTTTAATGGGAAGCCCCACTCTCTTCCTCTGTTTGTCTCTTTCCTGTGTAGAAAGCTGCCCAGGGAAGCTGATCGAGATCCAAGGGAAAGCAGGCTTGTTTCTAGAAGGCCAGATCCATCCAGAGTTGGAAGGAGTCGAGATCGTCATCAGTGAAAAGGGGGCAAGTTCACCCCTGATCACGGTCTTTACCGACGACAAAGGTGCCTATAGGTAAGCCGGTGACCAAGAACCAGTTGGTTAGGACCAGTCGGGGAGCCCATGCTGAGTCCGTAGCTCAGGCCGTAAAGAATCCACCTGCAATACAGGAGACCTGGGTTCGATCCCTGGGTTGGGAAGATCCACTGGAGGAGGGCACGGCAACCCACTCTTGCCTGGAGAATCCCATGACCAAAGGAGCCTGGTGGGCTACAGTTGATGGGGTCGCAAAGAGTCAGAACACAGCTGAGCAACTAACACTTCCACATTTTCAGTCGGGAAGCCCAGGAAAGAAGCTGGGGAGCCAGGTTTCCTGGGGCAGGTGATGCTTCCTCTAGGATTTGGAGCAAGGCATCACCAGCATTTCTTTCTTTTATTCAGTGTTGGGCCCTTGCACAGTGACCTGGAGTACACCGTGTCCTCGCAGAAGGAGGGCTATGTTTTGACTGCAGTGGAAGGAACCATAGGCGACTTTAAGGCTTATGCCTTGGCAGGCGTGAGCTTTGAGGTAATACCGTGTGCTTTCAAAAAGCAGTTTTATGGAGTATAACAACCATACAATAAACTGCACGGAAAGTGCATAATCTGACAGTTTGGATACGTGACAGCAGCTGTGAAAATACCACCACAGTCAAAACAGTGGGCACATCTGTCACCCCTCAAAATTTCCCTGCACCCTCGGTAGCCCCCCTCTCCTGGCTCTCCCCACCTTTCTGACCTGCCTTCTGTCACTGTAGATCAGTTTGCAGTTCTTAGAATTTTATATAATGGAATTATTCAGGCCGTACTCTTTTTACTCTGCCTTCTTTCACTTGTAATTTCGGAGATCTGTTGACTTCAGCTTGTGTGCATACCTTCTGGGAAGCATCTTAAGCTTTCATCCTTGACTCTGTTCTCTGTCAAAGGACACAGAATGTTCCTAGAGTGGAGTTGATGTCTTTTCTCTCTTCCCTCCCTCCTTCTTGAGAAGAAGCATGCTATGTGATGGCCAGAGTCTGGAGACCCTTGAGGATGAATGTTGTCAACATCGAGGCCAAAAGAGGAGAAACATCCCATCACCTTAATAAATTAAAATTCTGCATTGCAGAATGCCTTTTAAAACAAATGGAAAGATAGTCCAACTGAAGAGAAATATCTGTTCCATAAATAACAACCCCAGTTTACAAGGTCTCCTAAAACCAATAAGAAAAAGACAAGCCAACAGAGAAAAGGCGAATCAAGGACATGAAAGGCCATTCACAGAAGTCATCCAGGTCACTCATAAACACACAGGAAACACTTGACTTTGATAGTGACTGGGCCAACGCAAAGGAAGTTACCATCAAAACACTGGGTTTGAGGTTATAGTTGTAATAATGAAGACAACATCCATTTTTTTGGCAAGCTTGTGTTTTCCCATGCATAGGTAATTTAGGAGCTGGAAATGTTTACAGCCACCCTGGAGTTCAGTTCAGGGGTTTCTTTCTGGATTTCAAGTGCACACATCCACGAGGTCATTTCTACTCCTAGGAATTGACTGTTTGGAAAAGGAAAAACTTAATTGTGCAAAGATGCACACACTTGGGGACTTTCACTTCGTCCCTTCTTTTCCATCACAAAGCTCAGAGACTGGCCCCTGTGCCGTGGTTTGCCAACCTCTGATTTAGAATGAGATGCAGCTCTTCTGAAACAGTGAGGCCGATTGGTGGGGACTGGTGGACGAAGGCAGCGGGGAGAACAGCTGAGGCCAGAGAAAGCGACTTGCAGTTATAGGACCGAACGGTTCGGGGGCCCTCCTCCACCCCACCCCCAGCTAGTCACTTATGAAATCCATCAGCAGTAGATTTGTGTGGGCACAGAGTTCTGGAAGGCTGCACAGCAGACTGTTTATGCTGGTTACCCTGGGGGAGGAGAGGAGACCTTCTGACCTCCTCCGCGGGCCCCAGAGAATGACAATAAAAGAAAAACTAGCCGCTGAGAATGACTTCTTGACACCTTCGCGGTTTGTGTGAGTTAACCCTGCTCTGGGGTTCCTTTCTCACCCCCAGATAAAAGCTGAAGACGACCAGCCCCTCCCTGGGGTCCTCTTATCCCTCAGCGGTGGTGTGTTCCGTTCCAACCTCCTGACTCAGGATAACGGTATCCTGACCTTCTCAAACCTGGTAAGGTGCCCACTACTGCACCGCCTGCCTGGCTGCCCCGTGTACGCGTGAGGATGCGGCGGCTGTGATTTGTGTATTACTTGACAATGTGAGAACAGAAAACCATTGTGGACTGCCTCACGTTTCTTCGGGGACCAGCTGTAATTAAGGATGGATCTCACTAGAACCTAATGCTGCTGATGCATGTTCCCTTCCGCACAGACGTCTTGTTTTCTGGTCATCCACTTGTCACTGAGACAATGTAATTAATTACCCTGGCCCCAGCGGCTCCTGTCTTAGGTGTCCCTTTGTTTTACCACAGGATCTCGTTGTTTATAATGCCAAGTCTTGTTCAGGGGGTGAGCTTGTGTTTCTTCTGCAAAGCACACTCCCTGTGGTGGGTGGACAGCACCTATTTTCCACTGAGGATGTAGTCTGAGGCCCTGAATGGTGGACGCGTCATTTGGTCATCTTGTCAACTCTGGGAATAAAGTGACCATTCCCGGGATGTGACCATCAGGCGGTGAGGTGCAGCCGAAAGATCCCAGATTGGGACGTGAAGCACGCCCACCTTCGAATCTTCCCTCTGCTACTTACTTGCTGTGTTGTCTCAGGCTAGTTACTTGACCTCGCTGAGCTTTAGTTGCTTCATTCATAAAATTCAAGTATGATTTCTACCTTGCAGAGGTACTATAGGCGTGCAGTAATAACAGCTGCTGTTAGAATGGTAATTGGTGTCACTGTAATGATTTATTGTAGAGTTAGTTACCATCTCTGTGTGTCTGGGAAGCCCTGGGGCTCTTGGGGCCTCATCCAGCCTCATTCCTGCATGACCTGAGCTGCTTCCTCTAATGCCACCCCTCGACTTGCAGCAGAGGCTCAGCTCGTGTTTGTGTCTTGGCAGAGCCCTGGCCAGTACTACTTCAAGCCCATGATGAAGGAATTCCGGTTTGAGCCGTCCTCGCAGATGATAGAGGTGCAGGAGGGGCAGAACCTGAAGATCACCATCACAGGCTACCGCACGGCCTACAGGTGGGCTGCCCCTCTCCCGTCTGCCCTGGGCTGGGCCGTGGGATCTCTCACACACTCATTTCTCTCGGAACCCATCCCAGTCTTCAGGTTGATTCTGTTTGGAAGACAAGAGCCATGAGACACGAGTCCACAGGTTCCCGACTGCCACCCTTTTCTCCTAATATCGCCCATAAATGATTTAGTCACAAAGCTCCTCTTCTGAAATTGGCCTGAGAGAACGTACTGAGTTCCTAAAAGTTTTTATTTTTTTTTAAACATTTGAAACATGAATTAAAGATTTTGGAAAGGAGGAAATGCATTCACTTGAGCAAAACTTGGAAATGTTGAAAAGGAGATATTCAGTGTAGAGTTTCCCTTCTGTCCTGGCCTCCCAGCCACCTAGGTGTTCCAGCATTTCTGAGTACATCCAGAGATGGTTTATTCACATAAGTATATATAATTATAGACACACACATATGTATAGAAGCACTTCAAGGTTGATTAATCAGAAGGAACAGGTTTAGAAAAATGGACCATTTTCAATTGAATATAAAAATAGAATGAAAGGGGAAGTGATTTATTTTCATTTTATTGGATGCTTCATTATTTAAAATAAAGTTTAACAAAAAATACAATAAAGCGGAATGAAAGAAAGTTTAGCCTTTTTAAATTATGATTTTCTGGAGCATCACTTAGACTGTGTGAGAAGAGGAATTGATGATAGGAATGGCCTGAGCCCTCTGGCAGGAAGGCTCACCTTGCAGGTGACACAGCTAGAAGTGAGTTGTCTGGGTCATTTGGGGTACAGTCCTCCACTGAGCTATTTTGCATCGTAAATTGTTGGTAAATGCCGGACACTGTCCCTGGAATCTTGTGTGTGCATCAGAAAGCCCTGAGAATGACGTGTTCTGTTTCTTCTCTCGTCTCTAGTTGCTATGGTACAGTTTCTTCCTTAAACGGAGAACCAGAACAGGGTGTTGCCGTGGAAGCAGTGGGCCAGAGCGACTGCAGTATTTATGGAGAAGACACCGTGACGGACGAGGAAGGGAAGTTCAGGTTACGTGGATTGCTGGTGAGCCTTTGGATGTGTTTCGTTAGTGGAGTTTTTCATACTGCGTTCAGCAGTGTCTGGGTTCAGTGGTGCCTCCGAGACGGCTAGGAATGAGGGCAAGAGGGTTGGGAGGGGGCATAGGGCTTTGACACTTCCTAGTCCCTATCTTAACTGACATACTCAACGCTTATGTAGCTGACATACTGGGTTGCGGTTTTATGGCAAAATACAGGTAGGAAACCATGGGTTTGGTGCATCTTTTGCCTAGAACAGGTGGTGTAGCTTAGGTCAGCCTCTCAAATCAGGTACCTGTGGGGCTCGAAGACAAGTGTGAAAGGTTGGAGTGGACTGGGTGCCCGTCAGGAGCAGTGTGGACTGTGGACCGTGGATAAGTCGTGGCCCACGAGAAGGGGCAACTGCCACGCAGCTCTAGCTCTTCGTAGCCATGTGGGAAGACAACTCAGGGTTGCCAGATGATGAGAGTTTGTAAAAGAGAAGTCAGAAATTCACATTTCCACGTGACAACTCCTGATTTTTAGGTATTAACCTCTAATTTAAAAAAAATAGGGGCTTCCCTGATAGCTCAGATAGTAAAGAATCTGTCCACAATGCCGGAGCCTGGGGTTTGATCCCTGGGTCAGGAAGATCCCCTGGAGAAGGGAATGGCTACTGACTCCAGTATTCATGCCTGGAAAATTCCATGGACAGACAGGAGCCATGCAACCATGAGGTCGCAAAGAGTTGGACACAGCTGAGCAACTAACACTTTACTTGGGCCATGCTGTCCTTTCCCAAAGTTAAGAAGACCATGTCCCATGTTCAGGCATCCCCACTCACTGATACTGGGAAGTCAGAGCAGGAGGATGCTGGGTGGGCGAGGAGCGTTCAAGCCAAAAGAGGAAGGCGGGCTTGGGGGTGTCTCCTGGGGCCGTGCTGAGGACTGGAGAACGTCTGTTCTCATGGGCCAGCTGGGTGGGCTTGCTTTGGGGTCCGGTCAGCCTTACTGCGATGCTCCCTTCTCCACCTCTTCTGTCCTCAGTGAGGCCCTGCCGGCTCCAGGGAGCACTGATGTTAATTCGTTAGCACTTGCAGTGTGTGTGGAGTCGTCCCCTTGTGGCCGCCGACCCCTTCCATGGAAAAGGCCTTGGACGCTGGAAGAATAGCCTTGGACGCAGGGCGTGCTGTCATGCTGCTATCGGGACATGTTCCCAGGGCCCCAGGGCGCTCTCTCCTGTCCCCCAGGCCTGCTTCCCTTCCGTGGCAGTGGTTCCGGAGAGAACAGGGTGGAGTGGCCACGTGGATATCCCCCACCCCCAGGCCGGCTGCAGCCAGGACCCCGGGAGAGGCGACGGGTCCTTAGATCCAGGTCTCTGTCGCATGTGTCCTTGCAGATGCAGACTTTGACCCTGCGTCCTTAGTGGCCTTTCTGCCTGGGTTTGAACCCTGCCTCTCATTTCTTAGCTGTGTGAGTTCAGGCAGGTGTCTCATGCTTTCTGTGTCCATTTCATCATCTGTAAAGCACCAATGAGGATCACGGCTGCCTTACAGGTTGGCTGTCAGCATGAAGTGAGTTAATTAATACACATGGAGTGGTGCCTGGCGCACTGACTCCACAGGTGGTTAGAAGGAAGGACGGACCACTCCTTTCCCGAGGTGGTCCTCACCTGAACTGCCGGCTTGGGTGATTGTGGGCAGCTTTCCTCGGTCCGAGTCACAGCAGAAGGTAGGCGTGGGGGCGTGTGTGCCCCTCGGTCTGCCTTCCTCTTGGGTGGACCCAGTGTCCTGGCTCATCTCCCTCTTACGGGTGCGAGAATTCAGATTCTGCATCACCATGGTGATTCCCCCTTGGAGTCTTACTGGCCCGTACGTATTTTTCTTTTTTTAAAATTGGGGTATAGGTGCATTACAATGTTGTGTTAGTTTCTGCTCTGCAACAGCGTGAATCAGCTCTATGTATACATATACCCCCTCCTCCCTCTTGAGCCTCCCTCCCAACCCCACCCCACCCCACCCCCACCCCACCCCTCTAGGTCATCTCAGAGCCCTGAACTAGTCCCTGCGCTATACAGCCGTTTCCCATTAGCGATCCGTCTCACACATGGAGTGTATATGTGCCAGGTGTGTGTTTCTAAACTCACCAACTTAACACATTTTATTTAACTAAACCAAATATAGTTTCCTTCTCCACCTTGATAGATTCATGTTTTAATTAATGCTCCCTCACACCCTCCTCCTGGTAATAGGTGTTAATTCATCAGCGCTTTCAATGCTGTGTGGAGTCGCCCCCTTGTGGCAGCCACACGTGCTGGGCCTTCCACGTGCCGGGCCTCAGATGCTGGAGGAATTGACTTAAGACGGTTCTCATCAAAGGTTTGGGATTGCGTTTGTCAGGCTCCTAGGGGACACCAGGCTGGAGAGCCCTGGTTGAAGATTTCCTCAGGATTTTGCCCTCTAGGAGAATGCATTTCTGCAGTTGATCTTTCTGGGCAGTGTATTTGGTGAGGCATTTGGGTGAGAAGCTGCCTGAATCTTGCTGCCAGAGGCTGAAGGTGAAACGCTGAGTCAGCGGCCAGGAGCGAGGGGCTGGGTGGTTGGGGTGGGCTCCTGCCCTGCTGGGAGTGAGGGGCAGTGCCTGTGGTCCCGTCTCCAGCAGGGCTGTCTCTCCTTTTTTTCACACCTTGCTACCGTTTTCGAGGTGCAAATAGCTGTTGCTAATAGCTGTTTTGAACAAACCCAGTGCAGCCAGTCCTCACTGAGCTATAAAGTGAATTAATTTGCCTATTGGTGATCATAAATTTGAATTTTCTCGATTTTTAAAAAAATAATAGCTTTACTGTCTGTGTAAAGGTTCTGTGTGCTCATTATAAAATAGTTCAAAGCAATACACTGAAAAGGACAAAATTTTGAAAAGGGAAAAAGGAGATCACCCTTACACTCCCCCCAGAAGGACTCATGGTTAATATAGTGGGGATGTTGTTTAAGTTTCTGCTCTGCTCACACACAGAGAAGGTCACAGTGCATGTGATTTTAGGAAACCGTGACGCGTAGTCCTCGCTAATGTGCAAATCAGCAGTTACAGTCTCAGGGCTGTCCCCTCTTGGATACACAGTCACCTTTGAACTCGGCCCCTGGCTCTAGATGTTCATTCATGCGTCATCAGATTTGGTGTGCAGTTGGTGATCAGAAGTTGGTTATTTTAGAAGTTCTTTAAACCCTGCTAGTGTCAGTGGTCCTCATCTTTTGGGGAAAGATGAAGATCTTTTGTTTTAATAAATGTGTAAGAAAAAAAAGTTCAGAAGTTGACAAATGGTGGTTTCATTTAGACTATTAAAGCCTTTCGTAAAGCTGAATTTTATCTGATATGCAGCCTTCTGAGAAATTTTCCTTTGAACTCATATATCTTTCTCTGTCAGAGTTGTCACTAGCCCACCCTGCAGTATATAAAACAAACAAAAAACTTTATTTCTTCAAGGCAGTTTGTTGTTGTTGCTTGTTGTTTAGTCTTTGAACTATATCCTACTCTTTTGTGACCCCATGGACTGTAGCCGGCCAGGCTCTTTTGTCCGTGGGATTTCCCAGGAAAGAATACTGGAGTTGGTTGCCATTTCCTTCTTCAGGACATCTTCCCTACCCAGGGATCGAACTCATGTCTCCTGCATTGTCAGGCGGATTCTTTACCACTGAGCCACCAGGAAAGCCCTTTGAGGCAGTTTACTTTACTCTATTGGAAACTGTCATAATGTGCTGGCTTAGAACAAAATGCTTTACAGTGGTCTGCTAAAAAATGATCTGAGTAAATAATGTATATCCTTCATGTGTGCAATGTCAACAAAAAAAAAGTTTTTTAGAATAGTGAATTTTGTTTGGGTAAACATCACATGTCCCTATACATTTGAGGAATAGAATAAAATGTATAAAGAAGAAATCTGTTGTAAAAAAGGAAAAATCTCAAATCCCACTTCCCAGAAATAATACCCCTTTGGGAGTGCCATTCCAGACACCACTCAGTACATACATACAGGTGGAGGGGAGGGAGGGACAGCAAAAAAGAATAATTTTATCTTATTTATTAAGCAAGAATAAGCTTATCTTATTTGGAATTTTGAAATCAGAAACCACATTTAATTTTCCTTGGGTAGAAGAAGCCGAATATAGTTTGAAGGAATTGTAAAACTTCAGAAAAAGGTTTCTACATCAGGGTGCTTTTTCAAGGCACTGTTAAGAAGGGTGATAGGCCTGGGAACCAAGGTGGGACAGAAACTCGTCCACCGGATGGGGGCCTGCAGGCAGAGCAGGCTCCAACCAGGTCTCATGTGACAAGCCCTTTTCCAGATAAGTGACTCCTGCATTTGTTTGCAGCCAGGCTGTGTGTACCACGTTCAGCTCAAGGCAGAAGGCAACGACCACATCGAACGAGCCCTCCCCCACCACCGGGTCATTGTGGTAAGACATGGAATTCTTCAGCAGAATCACTGCATGATTGCATCTCTGATCAAAAATCCTTCAGCGTTCCTCTGGCTGGCTGCCTTTCATCTGGTGGGGGCGGTGGGGACTTTACATCCTAATTAAGGGTCCTCTCAGAATAGTGTCATCTTTACAAGCAGTGTCTTCTGTGGGCTTTTAACGAACAGCAGCGCTGTCTTGCATCCAGAGCAGAAATCTGAGCTGTTGTTTCCCCACTTCCCCTGCTAGCTCTGATCATTATTCTACAAGTTGAGGATCTTAAGGCCTAAGTAGCATTTTAGATCAAGGGAGGGTAATAAAGGGAACATGGGCTTCATCAGTGACAGGGCCACTGTTGTTTCTTATCTTCAGGTGACCTTGTTTTTCCCACCAAGGAGAGTCTTGATCTTTAAGCTCATGACTCAGCTAACTGATCCCTAAAGAGGCAGCCCTCCAGGTCACAGGAAGTGTCCCTGGCATCATTTGCAGTGAAGGTTTTTCCCATGGAGTAAGTCTCATTTGCTAGACCAAAGGATTTGGGGCCAGACAAGAAGCCTTTGGTGGCTTTATTAGGTGGCATTAGGGATAAAAATTACGATGGGTCCAGAGGCTGGTGGGTCATTCAGGATTTTTGGCCTAGACAGTTAGTTTTCCTGATGTCTTTATGGCATTTGGCATTTTAAGTGGTTGTGATGGCTGCATCTTATTTTATATTTTTCTGCCACTGGGGATTCAGATCACGATCCCAGGCAGTCATGTGGACTACGGCCCCACAGATGAAAAGGTGACTAACGGGGGCACATGCCCACCCCAGGGGGTATGGGGGAGCTGGGGCTTGACTCCTGCCAATTCCTGCCAGGCAAGAACATCCTCCTCTTTTTTCAAGAGGCGCTGGGAAATCTGGCTCTTTTAGTATGAAAATATTGATGTTATTAAAACTTAAGGAAAAAAGTACTGTGTTTGTCAAATAGCATGTCCATGGCCAGGTGTCGCCTCTCTCCTCTCAATTTGGGACCTTAGACTCAGGCTGCTCCAACAGCAAGCTTTGCTCCCTGAATGCGAAGGGAAGTCGCTGGGAAATAGAGCTCTGGGGACGTCACCTGCCGGAGCAGAGGCCCTCCTCTTCCAGCCTCCTTGGCCCCAGCTTGCTTTCTCTCTTCCCAGGTCGGGAATAATGACATTGATGATGTGAACATCATAGTTTTCCGGCAGATAAATCAATTCGACTTAAGTGGAAATGTGATCACTTCCTCTGAGTATCTTCCTACATTATGGGTAAGGCCAGCTGTTGATGGTTAACGTGGTCTGTTCTTTCTGGCTTCGAGACAAGAGGGAGCAGGATATCCAGGCCTGGCTAGCGCTTGCTTTAGCTGAGGATTGAGGTTGAGATTAAGAATCTCAGTCCCAGCATGTATCTGGTGGGATGACTGCTGATTGCTGGAGAAAAACACAGTCTGGTTTCAGATGACAGTTTTGCCAGCCTTGTGTATCTTTAAAAGCATCACAGTAGAAACCTCAGTGTGATCTGGGGTCTAAAGCAGAGAGATGGTTTTAGGGCAGAGCACCTGGTCACTTTCTAAATTCTCTGCAAGGTGTGGTTGGCAGGCAGTGAGCTCAGAGTCAGACGGTGTTGGGAACAGGCAGTGAACCTGGGCTGGAGAGAAAGAAAAGGCCACCAACAGAACACTAAAGTGCTTCTGGAAGCAGCCAGGAACCTGGTGCAAAATGAGAATGTGTTTGGAGTTTAAGGAACAGCTGTGGGGTGGGTGACAGTACATGGTGGGGGGCACGCCAAGTGAACAAGGCTGGCGGTGATGACATTAGGTGACCAGGCTCTCTGGGTCTCCATGGGGACAAAAAAATGCCCGTTTGGGAGTCAGGGTTGGTGACGATATACGTGAAGTGCCTGCCCCATGTCTAGCATGTTAAAGATGTGTTAGAAGCTGTTCTCTTCAATGTTACCACTACACTAACAGGTTTTTACTATTTTGAGCATTAACGTAAGTTGTCAGAATCTTAAATTTTAAAATTTTAACATTGTGACAACTGTCACATCACTGGTGCCTCAGATGTGTTAGGAACGGCCCGTCGGGGGAGGATGGTTACCCTTTGAAAGATCTGTGTTTCCAGAGTTCCTCTCCTCCAAGAGAGAAGCCATCACGAGGTGTCGAAAATGTGGTGTTTATCACGTTGGAGTTTTAAAAGCACTCCCTGCTTTGTCTCTGCTCTCCAGGTGAAGCTTTACAAAAGCGACAACCTCGACAACCCAATCCAGACGGTGTCCCTGGGCCAGTCCCTCTTCTTCCACTTCCCGCCCCTGCTCAGGGATGGCCAGGTGAGCCCACTCCACTCTGCGCCGTCTTTGCTGGGATGACTCCCCTTTTCCGCTGAAGGAACTCATTTTCCCCATTTTCCCCTCATGCCACCTTGCTGACTCAGTTGAATCAGAGGAGGTGGGGCTCTCTAGGGATTTTTTTGTTTCCAGAATTAGCTCTTTTTCTGTTATAAAAATAATACACATTCATCATGGCAGGAGATCGGGGAAGGGGATGGAAATCAGACATAATCCCGTCATCCAGAAGCAACCACTGTTAACATGTCGATAGGTTTCCTTTTGACCTTTTTTGATGCGTGTACATGTGTGTTTAAATATAAAAACACACATGTAATTTGTTTTAGTAATACAAAGCTGGGACTGTTTTGTACGTTTTCTTGTAATCTGTGCTTTTCAGTGAAGACTTTATCAGCCGTACTTTCTCATGCATGATATTTAATGACTGCACAAGAGACCGTGATAGAGAAAATACCATAATCTATTTAACCAAGGCCATCATCACTTACTGATGACGGGATGTTTGCCATCAGCTCTAAGTGCACAGAGCCAGTTATTGTGGCTGCCGTGGTAGCAGCAAACTTTGCAGAGAACTTGGTTCCTCTTGGGGACTTAGTCTGAGAGCATGAGTGGTGAGCCTGTGTGGTTCCTCCCCTGGCTTCCTGCCACCCGCCACAGGGACGATCCTCTGGCCTTTCTCGGTGTGAAGTGGCCATGAAATAACACAGCAGGCTGTGACAGAGTCTGGGGCCTCCTCGCCACTGCTCCAGGCGCCCTTAGTAATCGAGCCACTTACGGCAGCACAGCAGTGTGGACCCAGGCTCCCCGGGGCTCGCAGCCTGCTCAGGACCTTACCAGCTGAGTGACCCTGGGCACGTCACGCTTCCCTTCTTCAGGCCTCTCCCCCTCTGTCTGTGAAACGGGGCAGTAGTCCCGATCTCGTCAGTGGTTGAGAGCATACGCCTAATGTGCTCACAGCTCTGGGCCCCTGGCTGGGGCTCAGCACGCAGGCCTGTGACCACACCTCTGCGGACACGCTGCGTTCTTAGAACTTACCAGCTAATGAGCCAATTAAGAATCGTCCCTTGGAAGTCAGCCTTGTTTCGGATGAAAAAAGTCGTGTGTCTCCCTCATCAGAATCGATTCGTCAGAACTGTGTGTTTGTAGTCAGGTTCTCTAAGGACCACGTAGGTGCCCTGGTTGGATACACTTACAAAGACGAGCCGCGGGCTCTGAGCGCCTGTTCGGAGACGGCAGCATTGCGCGGCTGACCCTGCTGGACTGGCCCGCCGAGGCCGCCACGTGCACGTTAGTGACCTAGGCGTGGAGGTGTAAACTTGGGGGTTTCTAAAGGAAACACAGAGTCCTTTTCATCACAGTCATGCATTAGGAGTTAGTTTTCGTTTGCTTTGCCCCAACTGCCCTTTGTAAACACAGCTCCTCCCTCCTTGCGCACAGAATTACGTGGTACTTCTGGACTCCACGCTGCCCAGGTCCCAGTACGACTTCGTCCTGCCGCAGGTGTCCTTCACGGCAGCGGGCTACCACAAACACATCACCCTGGTCTTCAGCCCTACGGTAAGGAGAAGGGAAGGGGGCTTCCGGGCGTGGAGGGTGAAGTGGCTCCAAGGTGCCACTGAGTGCTTTTCAGACCCCCGTCCCGTGTGGGAAGTTGGTGGGAGTCCTCGTCCCTGTGGCAGAGAGAAGGCGGGAGGCTTGTGCCTAGGGGAGCCTGGACTTGGACGTGGCCCTTCTGCTGGTTTCTGGCTCGAGCTCGGTGACTTGGCCTCCACGATCTTACCCTGAGTGAAGGGCTCCTCCTGTGACCCCAGGAGGAAGCACTTGTCTCGTTCACCTCAGCAGAGACTGAGGAAGTGACAGACGGGCACATCGGGAACTGTTTGTCTCTGTGTGGAGGCGCACGCATCCCCAGGGGGAGCAGTGCCTCCGCGGAGGGCACTAGGGCTGCAGCCTGGACGTCCGGCAGGGCACCTCCCGGCTCCGGGGAGCACGTGGGCAGCCCGGGATGGAGGTGCCGCCTGCTGGGGTACCTGCTGCCAGGGGTGAGGTCCCACTTCTGAGGCCTTGGGAGCAGAGCCATGTGCTGGGGAGGGATGGCCTGGTGGGTCCTCATCCCAGTTGTTTGTGGGGAGGTGCCACTCTTCCATCCTTCCGGTGGGTCAGGAAGACTGAGCGGCTTACCTGGGGGTGCTCGGCAGAGCCAGGCTCGTCACGTCCCAGCCGCCTGCCGGGTGGCTCAGCACCATGCCTTACGAGGGTCGTCAGGGCGCTTCACTGCATCCCGTGCTGAATGCCAGTACCGACAGCCACATTCCTCACGTGTCACCCGGTATTTCACGCACTGCTAACCACTCCACACGCCGCCTCATTCCCCACAGTAGGTGCTGTTCGTGTTATCGCCATTTTATAGTTGAGTCAACCGAGTCTTAACGTGACTGCTGAAGGTCACACAGGAGGACCTGGAGCCTGGACTGCGGTCCTCAAAGCTTCGCCTCATAGCTGCTCTGCCTCCCCACTGACTCCAGCTTGCTCTTAAGGATTTACTTTGATGGAAAACGCTTTGGGATCGAAGACAAGTCAAAAAATGTGGGGGCAGGCAGTTGGGGATCCTGCCGCTATTCTTCTGTGTATTAAGGGAGTGTCTTGCTCCGGCTGTCGTCTCGGGTCAGAGGCCCTATGGTCCTTCTCCTTCCTGCGTGTCCTCAGATGCTTTGATCTTGGAACCTCTTTACACTGTTAAATTAGTTGTGAATCTCAAAGATCTTTGGTTTGTGTGGGTTTTATGTATATCTATCATATTAGAAATGAAAACTGAGACATGCTGAAAACAGAAGCACCCACAGGCCACACGTCCCGTTACCTGTCAGAGTGAGGACATCATCACGTTGCAGCCTCTGGGAAGGTCCCTGTCCCGCTGTAGGAACGTGAGAGAGAAACTGGCTGGTCGTCCCTTCACAGTGTGATGAGAAGTGTGGACTGTGCGAATCTCCTTAGAGAGGCCCGCGGGCTGTGCCTTGAGAACAGCGCTGCGGCCTGTTAACCTGTTTCATCATCAGCCGAAAGTTACTCATTTGTTTCCATTGTCGCGGTGGAGTGAGCTAGTTGGGGAATAGGTTCGTTTGCCATTACAGAGACCCAGCACTTTGGGGCTTCAGCAGGAGGGCAGGGTCTATCTTACGTTGACCTTGCGGGGGTCGTGTGGAAGCTCCTAGGTGTCAGGCTCCTCCTCTCCGTGGCTCTGCCGTCCTCCAGCACGTCGCCCTTCCCGGAGTGGCACAGTTGGCTGGGGCTGTGGGGTCAGCAACGAGGAAGGGTCCACCCAGGGTCCAGCCTGGCCTCCCCTGGAAGGAGGGGTGAACGGCCCCGGGTCCCCAGCACTGCCTTGCCGCCTCCCTGCGTGTGACCTCTGCACTCGCTTGGTGCCCACTGTGTCCCCGAGTCTGGAGCTGTGGGTTCTCGATGCCTCCTTACAGGAAAGAGTCCCTGTGTGCGGCCGGGGTTCAGCAAAATGAGACCCTCACACGTTTCAACCGCAGGGGTCCCCTGCCGCCCGCGGCTCTCTGCCTCCTCAGTGTGGACAGTGAAGGGTCCGGGGGTGAGCACCTTGTTCCTGGAAGCTTCAGAGAGCAAGCGAGGGGAGTTTGTGCGGCAGAGGATTCACCTGAGATTTAGTTGTGTCTCTTCAGCTCCTCCCTTTGGGTACTGAGCGTCTGGGCCTCGTGGGTGCTCGGGGTCTGGAGGAGGCCGGGCAGGCCTGGGCTGTGGACGGGGCGCTGGTCCGGGGTGACGGTGCTCTGGGTATTCACAGAGGAAGCTGCCTGAGCAGGACATCGCCCAAGGATCGTACATCGCCCTGCCCCTGACGCTGCTCGTCCTGCTGGCCGGCTACAACCACGACAAGGTAGGGGCCCCGACGCTCCGGGCACCGGACAGAGGTGACCACACTTCACGATAATGGTTTCGTAGCTAGGGCCAGTCCGACTCTTACAACCCTGTGGACTGTAGCCCACCAGGCTCCTCTGTCCATGGGGTTTTCCAGGCAAGAATACTGGAGTGGGTTGCTATTTCCTTCTCCAGGGGATCTTCCCGACCCAGGGACAGAACTCCGGTCTCTCTAGGTCAAGACCAATTCCAAGGCCTCCTTTCAAGGCTAGAAGCCTCTTGTATCCCTCCTAACCCTTAACCATGAAGTGTCTGGTAATGTCTCTAGTACAAAGACCTGTGCTCGATTGGCCTGAGAGCACAGAGCGGGTGGTGGTGGGCCTGGGGGCAGGGGTGCTGGGGCAGGTCGGGGGCGGGGACTTCGATGTCCCGCTGCACAGATGTCCTCCGGAGCCCCCCCTCTCATACCCTCTTTCCTCCCAGCTCATCCCCTTGCTGCTGCAGCTGACAAGCCGCCTGCAGGGAGTCCGAGCCCTTGGCCAGACGGCCTCCGACAACAGCGGCCCGGAAGACGCAAAGAGACAAGCCAAGAAACAGAAGACAAGGCGGACGTGAGGGGTGTCCCTCGGGACAGGCCCTGGCGTGGAGGACGCGTGTGACTCTTGTCATCAGCTCCGTGGGCGCAGCCACCCGTCAGCTTCCCCTCCCTGGCCCTGACGTGACAACATGAAGGGACCCTCCTGTCACTCTGCAGAGCACAATTGATTTTCTGAGTCGAAGATAATTTATTATTTTTACTTTTGTCACAGAAGTGTTTAAGCTGTGCTGGTGGTGTGTGAATGTTATCCTGAGTCTTCCAGCTTCATTTGCAAAAAGAATTCCAGTCAGTGGGGGTCTTGACTCCCAAATCAAGCTCCTGTTGGACTGATCTTCCCCTTAACGCCCCTATGTGTCTGAGGTCCCTGCTGGAAACCGCACAGCCTGTGTGTACTCCTAGGACGGTGTGTTATGTGGTAAAAAATCAATAAAACGGCCCACTTGTTTGTGCTGTAGCTCATCTCGGGTGCAGTCCTTGGAGGACCCTGGCCTAACGCTGGGGTCACGACCGAGCCCCCTGGAGGGACACGTGGGGCCTGAGTGAAGGCAGGATGACGCGCGGCCGCTGACTCTTGGCCTCAGTGATCGGAAAACAGGAGAGGTGGGGGGGGGGTGACGGTGTGAAGACCCCTGAGGCCCCCCGCTGTGCTGCGGGATCACACATTCACTTCTCTAGAGAAGCCGGAAAAACTGAGCTCTGTGTGAACTCTTCCAAGTTTTAAATGTTAGCGACAAATTCAGTTTGTAACTTCTGGTGAAACAAAATGCATACGTAGGCTGTGTGAAGCTTGAAGGCTGCCAGTGTGCATAAGGGATCCACAGGAATTCTCAGCATTTGAACAGCATTAATTTCTTTCTTACGGGAAGTAATTAAGTTACATTGGAAGGAGGGACGTCCAGCCATCCAACGCTTACTGAGCCCCACGTGTGACAGGCACCGGGGCTATGAGACGAGCAGAACAGACAACAGTATAAACTTCAGGAGCTGGATGAGGATGAACCCCCTTCCCCCGTTTTTTTCCTTGTGTCCCTAGCGTTCCACGTGGAGTGGGCACTTTAGAAGGAATGAATGAATGAATGCATGCGTGGACATGGACATGTGGCACCTGCTCTCAGAGCTCACGACCCATCCATCGGTTGGAACACAAGCCGGTCAGTGGACAGGGCAGGGCAGAGAGCTGAAAGCTTCCTGGTGGAGGAGGCTCAAGTGGCCGAAGGGGCGCAGGGCAGAGGTCAGGTCCCACCTGAGAGCTTAGGGAAGCTTCCTCGGCACGATGTTTAGGCCAGGTCTGGAAGGACCTGGGATGGAAAGAGAAGTAAAGCAGGTCTTGTTGGGTGCCACGACCAGTGAGGACAGTCAGCTTGAGGATTCCCAGGCTCCAGGGGGCCTCCCCAAGACCTGCTGCATTTCCAGTCCAGCGGCTGTTGGGCTTTTTGCCATTTCACAGGTATTACTTTTTCACCGTGGAAGGAAGTAGGCTTTTGGAGATATGGGAGAGATGAGATGCATAATCCATTTCTTGGAGTGTTTTCTAACTCTTCTTCCAAGTGGACACCCAGAAACATGCCTTTTAAATGTTAATGGGGCTTTTTATTGACGCAGTGTAAAGGTTAAGAGCTCGCGGAAGACAGAACTAAATGTCAATATGTTCCATCCAGTTCCGGAGGCCGCCACTAGGGAGCAGTCCTCCCCCGTCGCTGCTGCCGGTCACCTTTCTTGCCGGTGGATCTTCTGCAAGGGCTCTGTTCCTGGAAAAAGGCTGCTGCCTTTCTCAGTCCGTATGGAAGTTCGGCCTGTCCTGTGGCCTGTGATTGTCTTCATTTTCTGGCAGTCTCAGAACAGCTCCCCTGTCCCCCTCTGTGAGGTGTGAGGATGAATGGATAGAGGATTTTAAGTGCAGCAAAAGTTACACGAGACAGATTTTTTTCCCCCGAGAGATTAAAGATGTCTGAAATGACGGGTCCTTGAAGAACTCCCTTGCTCGCACCGTTTTGCTTATTAAAGTAGCCCGGCCTCAGTGAGGATACCCACAAAGACTGACAGAGAAGTGCCCTTCTAAGGTGCTGGCTCCACCTTAGTCTTCCCTGGGCTTCCCTTGTTTGGAATGTTGTCGTCCAACCCGCACGGACGGCTGGATGTGGGTGGGGGGTGCTGGAGGTGGGTGTGAGGAGTGTGTAGGGGGAGGGGCTCCAAGAGGGGTAGAAGGAGGAGGTGGTCCTTGTGCTCAGCTCCCAAGGGTCTGTGTTCACCTCTCGAGAGACGATTCAGGAAATTAGGGAAAAGCGAATGATTACCTCCCTGAAGGACGAGCAGTGGAAAGGAGTGGTGACCATGTGCCGGGCACCGCACTGAGTCCTTTCATGCATGAAGTGCTGGGTCTTCAGGACCTCACGACCTGAATGTGTTTTCAACTCTGCCTTGAGGAAACTGAGACTTAACAATGTCACAGCCACTAAGCGGTGGGGCTGGGATTGGAACCCGGGTGCAGGAGTTCTTAGCCACTGTACTCTGCTGTCTCCTGCTATGCGAAACGAGAGGGTGCATTTGTGCGCCAGGTTGGGGATAATTCAGGTGCTTAGAAAGAGAATGTCACATGCCAGACATGTGGGCACGAGCTGCGATACTTTTAGTCAAAGCACAGTGACATGTAGCCATGTGTGCAACGGAGGGTCAGGCCTTTAATTGTTGCTTCAGCATTGTTTCTAGAACCAAAGTTACATGGCTAAATGCTTAAGCCCAATTCCTCAACACAAATCCAAATCCACTGGGCAGCGTTCCCCCTTTCCTCAAAAGCTGGAGCAACCTGATGAGGAGAGTTGGGAAGGATTCTGGGAACAAAGTTTGTGTGGTTCCATTCCATTCTGTCTAGGCTGAGTGCTCACTGGGAATGAGGACTATGTATCAGCCATCACAATTCCAGTCCCCTGCACACAGTGGGGGCCTGAGGAAGGGAGCCTGCCTCAGATTGACTCCCCCCAACAATACCCACAGCCTTTTCATATGGGGTCCCATTGCATACTGAGTCAGGGCTGGATTCAGATGTGAGTGGTGACGTGTGCCTTCTCAGATGGGGTTATAAAGGGCATAAACAGATGAATGGATAAAGAAGATGTGGTGTATATATACATACAACTCAGCCATAAAGAAAAGTGAAATAATGCCATTTGCAGCAACTAGAGATTATCATGCTAAGTGAAGTAAGTCAGACAGAGAGACAAATACTCTATGATATCACTTATATGTGGAATCTAAAATATGACACAGATTATGAAACAGAGATGGAATCACAGAACAGATGGATGGTTGCCAAGGGGAAGAGTGGGAGGGAGAGGGATGGACTGGGAGACTGGGGTTGGTAGATGCAGACTATTTAGAATGGATAAACAACGAGGTCCTAAGCACAGGGAACTATGCTCAGTATCCTGTGATAAGCCATAGTGAAAGAATGTGTATAGTACAGTGTATGTGTATAACTGACTTACTTTACAGCAGAGATTGGCACAACATTGTAAATCAACTGTACTTCAATAAGGGCTTCCCAGGTGGCTCAGAGGTAAAGAATCTGCCTGCCAATGCAGGAGATGCAAGAGACGCAGTTTCGATCTCTGGGTTGGGAAGATACCTTGGAGCAGGAGATGGCAACCCACTCCAGTATTCTTGCCTGGAGAATTCCATGGACAGAGGAGCCTGGTGGGCTACAGTCCACGGGGCCACAAAGAGTCAGACATGACTGAGCAACTGAGTGCACACACATCATACTTTAATAAAGAAAAAAATAATAAAGGGCTTTGCACTCGCCATTTTGTTCCTGGGGGAAACCAGCTGCCTTGTGTGGGGATACATAGGCAGCCTCCTGGAGAGTTGAGGTCCCTGGACAGCAGCCAATCCAACTTGTCAACCAGGCACTTCAGGGGCCCTGGACCTGGATCCATCAGCTCTGGTCAAGCCTTTGGATGACTGCAGCCCCAGCCAACATCAGACTTCCACTGCTTCAGAGACCCCTTCAGAAACCCTGCCCGGCTGAGCTCTTCTCAAACTCCTGACCCAGAATCTCTGAACGTGATGTATGATTGTATTAGGCCTCGAAGTTATGGGGTAATTTGTTATGCAACACTAGGTAACTGGAACAGGACTCAATAAAGGTCTATCATCAATGGACAGTGACTGAGAGACCTCCAGTAAATCAATGTATTTCTATCTGTATTAGTCAAGGCTGTTTTCATTTCAAGTAATAGGAGCCCAACTCCAACTAGCTTAAGCAAAATGGGGCATTTCACTGCCAGTGTAGTGGAGAAAACCAGGAGTGTCTGGCTCCGTTCGTGGCTGCATCCAGGGAATGTCTTAGCCTCCCAGTTCTGTTTCCCTTCATGAGTTGACCGTGCTCTTCCCTCCATCAAGGCTCTAAGCCAGCTCTCAGTGCTTAGCTCTGAAAGAGTCCTTTGCTGGAAACATAGACATTGAAACCAGGTCCACGGCTGCTTGCTCAGTCATGCTCTGCCTGAGGCAGGGCAGCCGTGGGGAGACTTCCACTGTGAGTGAAGTTTGGTAAAACTGGCTTTTGACTTCTGCCTGTCCTGCTTCTGTAGAAGGTGGTCACCCTGCAGCTTTGGGCCTAAATCATCCCAATTTGCAGGCCCAATAGACAGAGAATTCCCATCCCACAGACCCTGTGTCCCTCTGGGGAAGCTGAAGGACTGATGGGCAAACCACAGGATCGCAGGGGCCTGGCCAGGCCCCAACCCACAGCTCCATCCATGCCATGTGAAGCTCCCGCAGTAGGGATGTGCATTTCCCAGAGAAACAAGGGATCCTGGGTGGCAAAACCAGTAGAAGTCAGCTCTACTCCCTTCACAACTTGATGACCAAATCGAAGTCACCCATCATCTCTGGCTTTATCTTTTCAGTAGCAAATAACCATGGCTTTGTTACAACATGCCCAGGGAAGGGAAGAAGCTCATCTTCCTGTGGGCCTACTGTGTGCCAGGGCCCAGGAGAAAGGTATGCAGAGACTCCCTCCCTCCTCCTCCTTAGGGGGAGCATTCATGCTTCATGATACAGTGGTGGCATTGCAGGGGGATCTTGACCACTGTGTCTAAGTCCTGCTGTCCCCCCACACCTGGGCTCGTCTACGATGCCGCGCACTTCCATACCCTTTCAGATGAGTGACTGTTTCACTGTTCCACTGTGTGGATGAAACAGCAGCTCATCTTGCATTTGCTTTTTGGAATTTGAAGATTCTGTAAAATAGATGAATGCGTTGGAACAAGTGGTCCCCACGTCTGTGCAGAATCTGTGCCTCCGGGGACTGATGGCTGCCCCTCCCTGTCTAGTCTGCAGGGGAGACGGCTGGCAAGAGAAGGGAAGCTGACAGCTGCTGCATTTTTATCCTGTTTCTGCTCTTGGAGCTGAGAGGAAGAGGTGGCTGACCGCCGCTGACTGATCCAACTCCAGATGGGCCTCTCTCGCTTCCTCTTCAGGGCTGGGGTGGATGGGTACGCAGAGAAAGAACATTTTGCTGCCTACCCAAAATGCTTCTTCCTTTGCCAGTTTCAGAAACACTTCACCGAAGTGATGACTGATACTTAGTTAATGGTGGCAAAGAACTGATTACATGTGAAGGCGAGGTCTAAGAGTGACAGTGGTTGAGGGTGGGAGTCAGCAAACCCTGGCCCCCAGAGCCTACTTCTGTTCTGCAAATAAGTTTATGTGTATAATTTTTTAGAATTCCATATATGTGTTACCATATGATATTTATCTTTGTCCGATTTCACTTAGTATGATATTCTCTAGGTCCTTCCATGTGGCTGCAAATGGCATCATTTCATTCTTTAAAAAAAAAACCTTTTAATTTTGTATTGGAGTATAGCAGATTAACAATGTTGTGATGGTTTCAGGTGGACAGTGAAAGGATTCAGCCATACGTATATATTTCATTCTTTTTTATGGCTGAGTAGTATTCCATTGTATATATGTAGCACATCTTTTTGATCCATTCATTTGTTGGAGGACATTTAGTTTGTTTCCATCTCTTGGCTATTATGAATAGTGCTGCTATGAACAGAGGGCTACATGTATTTTTTTGAACTATAGTTTTCATCTTTTCCAGATACTTGCCCATGAGTGGGATTGCTGGATCATATGGTAGCTCTATTTTTTTTTTTTTTTTAAGGAACCTCCATAATGTTCTCTATAGTAGTTGCTCACAGACACAGAAGACAAACATGGTTACTAAAGTCAGGGAGGGATAAATTAGGAGTTTGGGATTAACACACACTCTTTAAAGACCTACTGTATAGCATAAGGAACTATGTTTCATATCTTATAATAACCTATAATGGAAAAGAACCTGAAAATTAAATATATATATACACACACACATATATATATCTGAATCACTTTGCTAATATAACAGGATAAATCAATTATACTTCAATTTAAAAAAAGGTTCAAGTTGCTAAAAAAGAAAACAACCCCCTCCCCAAAACTACAACCCCACTAGGCCAGCTAGTTAGCCACTGTGATTGTAAATAAAGTGTTATGGGAACACAGCTACGCCCTTTCATTTACAGATAAGTCTGTGGCTATTTTAATCCGACAACAATGGAAGTGAGTAGTTGTAGCAAAGAATGACCCACAAACCCTGAAATATTTACTGTCTGCCCCTTTATGGAAAAGGCCTGCTAACCTCTAGTCTAGTGGGCACTTTGTAAAGTTTGATTTGGGCAGGAGGCATTGGTTCATTCGACAAGCATTATCTGAGCATCTGGGCTATGGCAGACCCTGTTCCGTGACTGGGGGTTTAGTGGTGAGAATGTGCAGCCAGGCTTAAACGCCAGGCTCCTCCGTCCATGGGATTCTCCGGGCAAGAATACTGGAGTGGGTTGCCATTTCCTTCTCCAGGAGATCTTCCTGACCCAGGGGTAGATCCCAGGTCTCCTGCATTGCAGATAAACTCTTTACCAGACATCTGAGCCGCCAAGGAATCTCAAATGAATGAATGGTCATTAGTAATAATGTTGGTCATGATCCATCCACATGACTCATATTGAGCCCATGTCACCAATTCACACTTATCTTCTGTTTAGGATGAACCATAGGAAACAGCCATTTTTATAGGTCAAAATGGTTGACTAATCCATACCATGCCCCTCCTCCAGGGGATATTCCCAACCCAGGGATCAAACCTGAGTCTTTTACGTCTCCTGCATTGGCAGGCAGGTTCTTTACCACTAGCGCCACCTGGGAAGCCCAACCATTATATGTACATACTGAAATTAAACAAGTAAATGGATAGTGAATGTGGGAGCCAATTTCTCACGGTTGGAGTGGAATGATACAAGTAAGCAAAGAAGACTAGAATGATCCATGTGGTGATGGATTAGAGTTGGAGACGTCACTATGAACTCAAGTTTCATATAGACACAGATGGTTGCATTTGGAAATATTTATACATATGTGCACACACACAGGCTAGTAACATACATATGCTTCCTTGCTCTGCCAGCTGAGTGGGGCTAGAAGGAATGACAGCGTAGTGGCAACAAACCCCCAGTGCCTAGATCCCCGTTCTCTAACAACACTGCTCTTCAATAAAAAGCATTGGGGCTCCATGGAGAAGTGTCTGATTCTAGGACTGGGGTGGGAGATATATAAGATGAGCTGGGAGCATCCTGTAGTGTCAGAAAGTAAGGAAGTGATACTGACCAGGGTTCTTGGCCTTCTCGATCAATAGAAATCGATAAGAGGCCAGACAAGATATTCAGGCAACGCTTTATTGGGGTACCTGCTGCAGCAGCAGAAAGCAAAAACAAGTAACAGGGTCCCTTGCTTGCTCTGCAAGGTGAAACGAGCTGGTTCCTTATTTGGGGTGAAGGTAGAGATGTGTCCAGGGGTCAGGCAGGAAGGGTGGCTTAGGTGGTTTGCCCATCTCTTTGGTGTTGGTCTGGTTTCCGTGGTGGCTCAGATGGTAAAGAATTTGCCTGCAGCGCAGGAGACCTGGGTTCAATCCCTGGATTGGGAAGATCCCCTGGAGAAGGGAACAACTACCCACTCCAGTATTCTGGCCTGGAGAAGTCCATAGACAGAGGAGCCTGGTAGGTTATAGTCCATGGAATTGCAAAGGGTCGGACACAACTGAGTGACTTTCACTTTTGTGCTGAGGTCAGGGGGCATGCACAGGACCCTGTTTTTGCTCCCCATCCCTTGTTTTTCTCCTGGCTGTTTAAAAGTGGCAGTTGGGTTTTTGGTCTCTTGGTGTCTTGTTGGGTATAATTTGCTCCAATTGTGCGCGCACACAGTTATTTTTAGTTCATCATCATTTCTCTGTATTTTATCGCTTGAGACGGTTGTCCAGGTACGAACACCACAGCAAAGGGTCCCGGGTCCCAGCCTGTTTCAAGAACACTAAGCAAGTCAAGACAAATCAACACCTTGATGGTAGGGAGGGGGAGGGGAGCATCTCAGATGGACACAGGAGCAGCTGAAAGAGCGTCCACAGTCAAGGCTGGCACAACTTGGCCAACAGAATAAGTAAAGTAGTAGTGGATTAGAACTCAAAGTATAGAATAAATACCCATGGTACCATACTGACATAGATTAATGACTGAAGAAATAAAGGTCCCAGAAAAATGACACTAAATAAAACCTGAGGAAATCTGAATAAATTCGAACTTTAATTAATAATAATGCACCAGTATGTGGGCATACAGAAACTGTCTGTACTATCTTTTC